CCTTTGTTGTTTCATTGGACTACTGTTTTTTTCTCAGTTTGTTTTAATATCATGTTGCACTGCCACATCACCATGCCGGATTAGGGGAGACATGAGTGCTTGCAAATATTTTAACCCCACCACATTATGTACATGTCCCAAGCCAGGAGTCTGAAGTCCAGTAATACTCGTTGGTTACCGTCTGCTATAATTGTTGTCCGTCTGGTGGTATGAGCTTAATTCAAGTTACTAGTAGTAGTTTTCTCTGTCAATCGTTTCACAATCAGTTAGAACAGCCTATGACTTTTGATATATAGCTACATGGTATGGGATTTGATATATAGCTACATGGTATGGGATTTGATATATAGCTACATGGTATGGGATTTGATATATAGCTACATGGTATGGGATTTGATATATAGCTACATGGTACGGAATTTGTGGTCACCTATGGTTGTTTGTATCCTTTTAGTTTGGTCTTTGTTGAATTATTGTCTCTTTGGCAATATTATATCTCATTATTTCTTGTTACGTTTCAAGTCCTGAATAAGATTCGTGGTATTACAAATGTATTTCAAACCTTCACATTTGGTCATCTTTTAGGGACTTGTGTCTCATATTCGTCGCTGGAATGATAAAACATCAAAGATTGTCTTATATGGCCTTTTTTCCACATTTTTTTAGGTGTTCTTTTAAGTTTGATTGTTTTAGCTGTGGCCTTCCAGTTGTCTGATATCAGCTCACCAGGAGTTACTTATAGTGAGGACGTTAACAATACCTGTTCATCTTACAGGTAAAACATGCTGTAGTTACTTAAAAATGTTTATTGTATTTAGAAAATCCATTCAATCAGTTACTTAGGGAGTTTTGCTGATTGTATTTTTCAAAATCTTATTTCTTAGTGTTCAGCCAAAGCGTGTGAAAAAAATAATGTCTCAACAATCTTCCTTGAGTTTAGTTATTTTTGTAATAGTTTTAAGAAAAAGATATTTGTAAAATCATTACAGTAAAAGGACTAATTTTTATAACTTGCTACGCAGTATGGGTTGTTCTCATTGTTGAAGGCCGAACGGTGACCTATTGTTGTCAATTTCTACGTCATTCTACCGCATAGCAATGAGATATGCAAAACAATTTAAACGAGAAAACTAGCTCCTAAACAATAAACAAAAAATAAATATGATATACATCAGAACGGCAACCACTGATTAAAAGGTTCCTGACTTTGGACAGGCACATATAGAATATGGCGGGGTTAAATTAACATGTTTCTGCAATTGTTTTAGAGTTGAAATAATGCAGCATGCAAATCAAGAGTTTAAATGCCTTGCTTGCAAACTTTGTTTGGTTGTTTGCTCAGACATTGTAATTAAGATTGACACCTAAATTCAATGGTTATGCAGAGTAATAGTCTGTTTACTATATAAAATGATTTAATTGGACAATGGATATCATATTGTTTCCAGTCAGACACTTAAAGGATGTACAGAAAAAAGAATAGTTAGTTAAATGTGAACCAATATTGAACTCCAATTAATAATAATACAATTTTTACAGTAAAGCAAGATTTGATGGTTTGATTGTTTTTATTTGATATGAAAATGAAAAGTTTTCTGCACACGATTGCTTTATTCTTAATATTGGAAGATGAAACTTGATCATTTATTATCATCAGAGACATATAATTATATGTCTCTGTCATCATGTTTAATATAAATACTTTATTTTTTTTATATTATCAATACAATTTACACGAAAAGATAAAAGAGATATTACTGCATGAGCCCCCCGCCCCACAAAAAAAAAAATACAAAGTGCTGTAGGGAAATAATTTTTAAAGTTTTGAGTGGTTTCGGATTTCTCGCTTCTCTTTGGATCGTAATGACGAAATAATATAGATTTCATTTCTCGCCAAAATATTTACAGAATTAGATCGTCATAAAAATTGAAATGGGAATTGGGAACCATTAATTTTCTAGATGGAAACTTGGATATCAAATAATTAATAATGTGGCAGGAATATGGTTTCATTTCTTGTTGCATTATTGTCAAATTCGAATGCACTAAGCAAATAAGAGAATGAGTTTAAAAATTGTGTTACTATTTTTAAACTCAGTAACTTTTAAATAAAAGTTATTAAATATACAATTATTGTAATTGTCGACGAGTGCCTTTATAATATTGATGGTCATATTCCCTTTATTACTACTACTGCATTGACCCTTTGAATAAAAACAACACGTTATTAATTTCATGCGTCCGAAGCGCTTTTCTGGAAGTTCATCAGGAACGCTCAAAGCCAGATATTTGAATGCCGAGGATGTATAAGGACCGAAACACAGTTGAAGAGCTATATGACCAAAAAGTACCTAAAACAATAGCCAAATCCATTTAAGGTCAACTTTGCCTGAGGGTGTTGAAACCTTAGTTTCTTTATAATTTCAAAATTTATAAACGGACAATTTTAGAAAGGTTTGTTATTAGAGCATTGCGAGCCATGCACTGATTTCTCAAACAGTTTTCAACAAAGTGATCTGAAGTTATTTTTTTCTTATAGAATATATACAGTAGTTTAAAGTGCAAAATTTCACGTAATTAGCAGAGACACATGTATTATATGTCTCTGTAATAAGTAATAAGAAATAATATTTCATGTCAACATTATAGTTTGAATTAAAATATGACATTAAAACTGCTCATGCTTTACGTTTTTAATCCATGTCAAAATTGGTTAACTTTACCGTCCCTGTACCCCCTTTAGCCCATGCTTTTTTTTTATCTTTCAAGTGCCCAACTGGAAAAACCTTTGTATATAGTAAACAGACTTTTACTCCGCCTACCCATTGAATTTAGGTGTCAATCTTTATTACAATGTCTGAGCAAACAACCAAACAAAGTTTGCAAGCAAGGCATGTAAACTCTTGATTTGCATGCTATATTATTTCAACTCTAACATAGCCATATTTTTCAATCTGATCAGAGCTAATCAGCTGCGAAGAAAAGTGTATAAATAACCGAAGTATTTAAAGACAATTTCTGAATTGCATTGTTGTCATTGCAGTTCTTGTGCAACATGTATCAAAGATCAAAACTGTGGATTTTGTTACATAGAAGACGGTTATTCTGCAATTAATGGTTCATGTGCACACAAGTTAGATAATATGGCAGCTAAGTATGGTAGATGCAACTCCACGGAGTTATCAGATGGGTTAGTCTGGGGAACAACATCATGTCCTTCACAATATTTTTGGATGTGCTTATTAGGACTCTTGTTATATCTTATAACGTTTTCTCCAGGTTTGTGTTCTTAAAACTTTGACTTGATTACCAATAAGGTTGTTATCAACGTGGCAACCAAATCAATCTTTACAATTCGGTCTAAGGAAATTGATTGCTAAAAATTTAATATATTCTATTATTTTCGACTTTTGTGGAAAACAAACATTAACCGCAAAAAGCATACAAAGCTCAAAATGATGAACTGAGCTATCATTAATGATATTTAAAATTTTAATAATCATTTTATGCGGTTCAAACGGGTTTTTAAGCAAACATGATATTTATATGTCTTTTGGCTATTGGTGTCTCCTTAACGTGTACCCCACATATTTCAGGCATTGGTCCTTTACCGATGACTATTAACTCAGAGATATATCCTTTGTGGGCCAGGAGTACTTGTATGGCGATTGCATCGTCAACAAATTGGTTATTTTCTCTGGTCATTTCATTGTCATTCTTGTCTCTGACGGATAGTGTTGGAGCCTATGGTAAGTCTATAGATTTTGCTTCATTTTTAACTAACGATTCCACATAAACTTGATTTTTCGCCAACTACTGATTACAATCTTGTTTGAAATTATCCAATTAATAATTTGGATACAATTTAACTTAAAATTCTAAGAGTAAGTCTTTTTTTGTCATTTTTTTTTTAAATTGTTAACTTTGATACAAAGCAAATGATGGTTCTGACTATTGCAATGAACTGTTTAAAATAAGTGTTGGTTTAAATTGTATTTACCGACAGCTGTTATACATTTATTCTTATCTACTCTCAAATCCGTCTTCCCTTTTATTTAATTCACAGCCAGGTCATTAGCCTAAATAGACATCCATTCATTTGAGCTCTGGCATGCAGTGAAATAGATTTGATATTTTCCAAGGTTTTTTTATTCTCCATGTTGATTAATGTATACATAGTATAATATATGATTCAATGATACTCTGTGGTACTCACTTTTTGCAATATATTGAAAATTAATGTAACTTAAGAGTAGATTCTTTATCCATTCAAATAGCAGTCAGTTAAAGATATAAACAATGGTCATCAATCAATATCAAATTAAGGCACTTTTCTGTAAGCTCTTTATTTCATTGTGGAAGAAATTCCAGAAACTGTTAAGATAAAGAAAGCAATAGAAGCACCATTTCTTTGATAGATAATTGGTTATTTATAGAGAAAAATATCGCTCATTTATATCCACTCATTTCAAGACTTTTTCCATAGTCCTCTAAAAATAAAGCAACGTTTACATTACAGCAATTATTTTAAAGCAAACAATATCATACATGTACAAGAAAAATAGCCACTGTACTACAAGTAACCTTCTCCCTGAATTGGACAGATACCTTTATATATATATAGTATTGAATAAACTCTCGTGTAGCCTAATTGATGTATTTTTATAATGTCTTTCCAGGAACTTATTGGTTATTTGCTGCTGTTGTGGTGCTAGGATTTATTTTTCTCTTCTTCACCTTACCAGAAACGAAAGATAAAAAATTGGAGGAAGTTGAAACTTTATTTGAAACGCCCTGGTGTAGCTGTGGAAGATCCGGATCTTTTGATATTAAAAGAACACCAAACAAACCAGTTTGAACAAAAAATTTCCTAAGTTTCAGAAAAAAGGTTTTGCAAAAAATAAAATCATTATTTTTCAAAAATATTTTTATTTCATTAGCAATATATAGTATAATTTATAACTTTACATGACCATCATTATGCTGAGCGGCAACTCTGTTTCTTCTAGATTTTCTTTTTGTTCCTACTTGGTTTTCTTTTTACACTAGCCTTCGATTCTCTCTCATTTCTTTTTCTTTCTTCTTCCATTTTTTGTTTGTAGGCTTCAAATTCCATTTTGTGAACATTGTCAAGCAATTTGACAACAACTTTCTCACCATTCACCTCAAGTCCGTTCTGTAAAATAAGCTGAACATCATCTTGGAAACCGAATTCAGCAATCCATCGACTTGGAACCTTAGAATTTCCAGTTCGGACATTCACTGGATCATACTGAAGGGACATCGCCTTCAAACCGGTTTCCCTTTCTATCAAATCTAAAATTGCCTTGTCCGTATAACCGTCATTGTTTCTCAGGGTGAAAACGACACTGTTTGGAGACTTTGGTGGTAAAGATTTCCTCATCTCCATTGAGGGGAACAATTTACTATCGTAAGATACGCATTCCTTCAGTTCATCCAACAAAGATTTAGGTCTGTCTCGTACACTGAAAAGAAATAAAGATTGTATTAATAAACTTGTAAGTAAATAAGTAAGACCGTTATTTAAATTTTAAAATGTGCTTCATAATAGAGCTCCTCATAAATTCGTGTTTTAAATAAAGGTTTTAAAATCAAACGTCCACCAAATTAACTACTTTTCAATAACATACGAATGCCAAACCCGGCCGGCAATAATTCTTCAAATACTGCTGACTGATTACGCCTACACCTTCATTAGGTGTTCTATATATATTTCTTAGTATGTGCTGTTAGTGTGATCAATTCTAATATTTGTAAGATCGCAAATAGTTACTTGAGATTTACAGTTTTGTTAAAGAAGCCAAGTTATGTCGGATTAAAACAGAAAAGAAAATCTCCATAAAACTTAAACAGTTGGAACTAAATAACAGCAATGCAAAGTAAAAAAATCAAATTATGTCAATCGTTTGTGGGTAGAGATCGACATGCTTATGATATTTCATAGTTACCACTTTAAAGAATATCAGTGTCTTTAAAAATTGGTAGATTATCATGCAAGACTATAAAATATTGTCAAATGAAGAAAACTATGTAACTAACGTTACGTAATTATTATCACCAAAAGTATTTGTTTAACTGGACATATTTTACGACAGATATAGAATTTAGGCATTTCATTGAAGTGAAACAATTGCTTTCACATATATAATTAATTACCTTATGCTTTTGTTAGTACTACAACATAAGTTATCACCAGAGTTGAAATTATTTGCAGATGGAACAATAGCAGGAAGAATAGGACGTGGTTTTATTCCTGGTGATGTTGGCATATATTTTGCGTCTTTAGGTAGGGTTGAAGAGATTGATCTCGTGCTAACAGTTTCGATTCGGTTCCCATGGATGATATCTCGGCGTCTTCTGAAGCCTAAATTTTCAAGACGCACCTGGTTTTCTGGAAAAATATAAAACAAGAACATCTTGAATTGGTAAATAACTAACTGAACTTTGGGAGCATTTCTATTTGAAATCTCATCAGAGCTGATCTTGTTAAGAAACAGAATAATAAGATAGTGCTTTTGCAAAATATATCTTTTTATGGACATGTTGATTAAATCACTTAATAATATTACAACTCAAATCTGAATCTGTCCTTGAACTAGTAAAACGTTCCAATAAGGCATCGGTCTTTAACTTTAATGTTCAAAGCTACCTGTATTGCTCACCTGATACTTTTTGTATAAAGTTGATACTATGCTACAAGAATTTTTTGATGAATGAAAACTATGTGGGCCAAAATCATGTCTAGTTGGTATTTTTTTGTTGACAGGTTTTTTGGTCTATTCATTACAGTTTTCAAGATAGTATTCAAAAACAGAAAAACAAATTGATTAATATTGTGATTTCCTGAAAACTACTTTTAAATTGTAAGAAGTCCTCGCCCTAGGCTGTAAAGCCTTTTTCGCCAAAAAACAATAATCAATCAATCAATCTGTTCAGGTCGTAGGTTGACTTATTTGTAGATCTTTGTTGCTGATCAGTTTATAAATTTCAGTGTATCATAATTTTCAAGATACCAAAACTGATCAAAATCATCATTTGAGGGCAATATCTGTTATAGGGAGCGGAGAGACGACTTCAACTATTTAACTTAATTGTATAAAACTTCATAACCAAAATGGATAACAATCGTCATTGCAGCACTCATATGTAAGAAGACGCCTGACAATTTCGATTATTAGACTTATTTGCAAATCTTGTCTTGTTTGTCTTAATAAAATGCTATAATATGTTTTTTTTTTCTATTTATTACATGCATTAACTTTTTTCTATTTATTACAGTTTTCGAGATTATAGCCGAAACACAACTAAAGGGTAAACAAATCATAATTGGCCTCTGTGGATAACTGTCTCATTGGCAATCATATCACTTCTCCTTATTATTTTTTTTGAGCTAGCTTTTAGTACCTGCAAGTACTATTAGATCGGTACTCTTTGTCATTTTTCTTTTTGTTAGTTGTTGTTTGTGCTTCTTGTCGAAAAAAATGAGGCAAGTTCTTTTCAACTGATTTTTAGTTTTGTTTTGTTACACTTTGTGAGGATGAGGGCGTTTGAGCGCTCACAAACAGAACTAAATATTGCCGCACATTCTGTGTTTGTCTGCCCCAAGTTAGAAACCTTAATTAGAGGTTTCCGCTGGTTTGCTGTCTGTCATATTTGTTATTTGTTTATTGTTATAGCATAAACCAGCCCGTTGGTTTTCTATATTGAATTGCTTCGAGCACATTTTATGTATGGGTATTTTATAGCTTGTTGTGTGTTGTTTAAGTTTTGCTCATTGCTGTTGGAATTATGGCGTGGTGATCTGTAGTTGCTTACAGCTAACGAATTTATAGTAAAATGAAAATAATACTTTATAAATTTGATGCGTTCGAAACGCTTTTCTGGATCAACTTTCATAAAAAAAACTCAAACCCAAAAATTTGAAAGCCAAGGATGCACAATGACCTGAACACTTGAAGATCTATATGTGACTAAAATGAACATAAAATGTATATAAAAAGTCTGTATGGATTAATAGAATAATTTTAACCCCAAAATGTAATATAGATGATGGCATTTGTTTTTATTTGAAACTGTTTTTACTAGATTTTGTCAATTATATCTACCTTCATTTGTTTCAGCATGTTGTTTGGTTTCCGCAGATGATAGTTTATTTTCGGCAAGCTGATTAAAATGCGTGTTAGTGATTTTCAAACGTAGGCTTTGCATCTTCCTATCAAAATACATCTTTGCTCTGAATCCATTCACATCAGCAACACTCGGAAATCCAGATGAGTTGCCAGTCCTCAAAGATGCTCTGTTTTGCTTACTAGTATCTTGAATATCATACTGATTGCTGTCCATTGGTGGAAAGGCAGACACAGAAGAAGAAAACTGCCGCCTTGGGATTCTTGGATCTTCTCCCTGTTCTTTCATAACAATCATTGTCTGACTTGATGTCGGCATTGTCGATTCAACCAATGTATTCTTGTAGAACGTCGCAAGGCAAGTTTGCAATAGAACTGTTGATATCACGTGATTTCGTTCGATTGTTAACGTCATAATGCATTGGAAAGCCGATTTGTTGTCATCGATAACCGATAAAATACAGAATTCCTAGAAATTCTTAAAGAAATAATTCTTTCATGTCAAACTTTATGTCCATTTCATCATAGTTGGTAATCACACCATTAAACATCTTTTGAAATACTGAAAAATAATGCATGTTGAAAAAATGAACCTAGGACATGACACGAAAGATCAAATCGGACTACAAATATCTCTTGAATATTTTTCTGCTCCCTTTTCCTCGCCTGTTGTGACTGTTCATAAAATTGAATTATAGTGTAAATATTCTTAAAAGCCTAGAAGATAAATAGTTAGAAAAACATTTATCAAATTTCATCTTACCAATTAATAATATATCTTAATGAGGGTAGGGATTCCCTTTAACTCCAAGCGTCAAACGTCCGTTTTTCGCTACCTTTAGCCTAATTTTTTTATCGTCATTCGTCCAATCTCATTTTGAAGCTACCGTTAGCGTCAAATGGGGTAAAATGTTTATCGTTAACATTATTTTAACAAATATTTTACCGTCATTCGTCATGTACCCCATTCCTACCCTCTTTAATAAGATAACATTAATAAAATGCGTGAAAGGTAAGTAGTACGTATACCAAAACAATATATGTATACCAGACAATATATCAAATGGAAGGATACTCAACAATATAAGCTAGGAAGTTGCGCTTATACTAACAATAACGTGTAATGACGCAGACTTTATATATAAAGGACATATCATAGAAAACTGGAAACACGTCAATGTAGCGCTAGTGTTTTAAATACAAAGATAACATATATTAGCCTTGGACATCGTTTATAAATACATGGAATACATTAACTTATACCATCCTGTATACGCTCAATAGCCGGAATCACAAATAAAACATCAATGATAATATACAAGTAAAAATTTACATATAACATTCAAACAGATATACATACTCTGACGCTTGAAAGCCTTTTAATAATTGTGGTTCACTGTTATGGCATACAAAGGATTACACAAAGCTCTACTCTTAAATTGAGAGGCGAGAGGTACCAAAGGGACATTCAAACTGATTTGGCTTAAAAAGAAAAAGACAAACAGACAAACAATAGTACACAAAACACAACATAGAAAACTAAAGACTGAGCAACACGAACCCCACCAAAACATGGGGGTGATCTCAGTTTCTCCGGATTATAGTAACAACATTTGGAATATATCCGCTATCGTCTGTGAAACGGATATTCCATAACGGTCAACGGCAACTCGTGATGGCGTCCGTAAAATTTACGAAGGGATGATTTCAACTTCACCACTTGGAACTCTTGGTTTAATAGCTTCCTTGTGAGCAGCAACCCTCTATCAAGGAAATCATGATAGGGAATACAAACCCTGGAATATCGTATCAACTGGAAATATATACACCGTATGCAGGCGCTGCTGGAATGTTGCTACATAGAAATGGAAAGTTCACAATTGGGAAGCCGAAATCATCTCTTTTGTCGTAACGTTTAGTTTTCAACCGACCCACATTGTCAATTTCTAGATGTAAGTCAAGATATGAGGCAGACTTAACTGTATCTGTTGTATCCTTCATCTCAAGTTCGATGGGATAGATGTGTTAAAAAAAAGTCACCAAATTTTGAATAATTTAGTGAGAGAACATCATCTATATAGCGGAAAGTAAAGTTAAAGGATACTGCTAACTTCTTTTCTTTCTTTCTAAGAAGTTCCTGTATGAAGTCAGCCTCATATAAATAAAGGAACAAGTCGGCAAGAAGAGGGGCACAGTTGGTTACTATGGGAATGCCGATTGTTTGTTGAAAAACACGTCCTCCAAACGTAACAAATATGCTGTCAATCAAGAAATCGAGCATCTTGATAATGTCAGTTTCAGAGATTTTTTTTGTTTGAATCAGAGTTATTTTTTTCAAAGTAGGATGTATCCCTCCCTAAGACAAGATACTTGTATCTACGTTGGCCATTCTTTTTTTTATGAAACAAAGCAGGACCAACTCTTTCAATTTGTCTTTTAGTTTGGAATGGGGAATACTTGTGTAAAGTATAGAAAAGTCAAATGTTTTAATATTATTGCAAGTTGAAAGAGTCTTTCTCGCTGCATTGAAGACCCATTGGTGGCCTTCGGCTGTTGTCTGCTCTATGGTCGGGTTGTTGTCTCTTTGACACATTCCCCATTTCCATTCTCAATTTTATTAGATTGTATGTACTCTAAAAGATCTTTGGAATTTTTCAGTATCCGCATCTGATTCACGCCACCTCTAGAATAGGTAGTTTCACAATAACTTTGAAGCCCGGCTTTGATTGCTGATAAAATTGATGTTAATAATTTAGAAAGAGGTTTCGTGGAGCACTTGGAAGACCCAGCAATATACCGTTGTTTGTAAGGACAGTTATGTAGTTTAGGTATCCAATACAGTGATGGAAGATCCAGTTCTTCATTTTGGATTGAAATTTCAGAGAACATAGAACAGACCTATGATTATCAAGGATTTCCTCTTTGGTAAGTGTCGTTGGGGTATATGTTGAGTTTCCAAGTTAATTGTCAATACCTTATTCATTTATCAAGCAGTTTATGTAATGTGATTTACACACAAAAACGATATTTTTGGGGGCTTTATCTGCGGGGACAACAACATATTTGTCATGGAGGTAGGACAAGTGTTTTTCAACATTTGGGTCTTTAAAGATTGATGTAGAATGGGTATTCATAGACCTTATATCAACGACCTTACAGCCTTTGGCCATTCGGAAAGAGTCTTCTTTATCGCGTTTAACCCATTGTCTGAGAGATATTGAAGCCGTGCTGGTAGAAAAGGCTTGAAAATTGGCACTTTTGGACGGACCGAATATCATAGAAATTTGAGTTCTTCTTCCAAATGCAATTTAATTTGTATACTCAATTAAAAATGAGAGTTGCAGAAAATAACAAACATGACAAAGGAAAATAGATTTGTGCGCAATATCAAAATTGGAAGGGCCTTCGACTGAGCGCATATTCATCCCCGTTATAAAAAGTCAATATGTGGGGTTTTTTCCGACTTACTAATGCAGATACAGATGGGAGTTGTATAATTAACAGAGTAACCATAAATTGAACCCGAGATGTCTCTGCGTGCGGTTATTCAAAAGTTATTAGGTTTATCATACAATATCTTCCTCAGAGAAAACGTATTACTGTAAATGAATTTGAAAAATTAGGATTATTGAATGTTTGTTAAAATCTCCGTCTGAATCATGTGTTGAATGTTTCACGACAAATGTCCAGAATACATCTCAAGTCGGACTTCCTCTTATAACTAGAACAACTGCCAATAAATTTGAATGTTTCAATTGTTACAATCTTCTACTATTTTGAAAACCGAAATTCTCTGCAAGATCAAGTAAATTTTTTTTCATGTGAATTTAAAAAAAAATAAGTTTGAAGTAAAAAAAAAAACATTATTAATAAGTTTTCTGAGATCAATGTCAGATGCAGATCTTCAAGTGTATATTCTTTTACGATTAGGTTATTTTTTTTATACGAATGTTTTAAGATGTTTTTCATAGATAATATAATATTTGTATTCGGCCGTAGAAACTCTTAAGAGCTTATTTTTGCATTGTTATATGTGAACCGAATCAAAATAAACTTTCGTAATCGTATTCGTATAATCAGATATAAGACCCAAGATTACTATAACTAACATATGCATATTATAGTATATAATGTTCTTTCTATTTGTTTAATTCCCATCATCAGTATAATGTTTTAAAAACTTTTTCCTACTATTTATTGATTAAAGTAATTTCTGTCTTATTTTTCATTATTTATTTATCTCTTAACTTTTCTTCGGTAAAGTACATGTATCAGTAAACAAATGAATTATCTCCCTTGTCACGAGACAACACACGAGATTTACGCCATTTTGACAAAGAAAGGCAGACAGCCTTGTGAAAAAGTGTAATTGTACACTTAATTTAACAGTTCTGGCTCCTTAGGCCACTTAAGGCCTAAAGAGAGGTGTATGCCACTCTCAAATGCCAACCAACGCAATCTGCCTGAACAGCAGAGCCAAGAAAACGACTTGACAAGTTCCAAGAAAAGGCGACTGAGTGATAACTGTTCAAGTCAAAACAATAAACGATCTAGGGAGAATTCTGAGTTATCCCCAATGACAGATTCTCAGAAACGTGCAAACTTTTCAGCGTTAACTAATCCCTCAAACGGAATAAATAGGCATGCTTCCCCTCTTGCCAATAGTAAACCTGGATCCACAAAGAAACTGATAATAAAAAATTTCAAAGGTACTTAATTATGTAAGAATATGTTCAGAGATCCAAAGCATATACTCTCTGGAACTTATGAACAAACATTGATGCACACACTTCAACATTTTTATTAATACAACTGATGCCTTAAAAGCCCAATTAAGATTGTTTTTAATATAAAATCTGCACATTGGTGTCGTGATCAAATTCACTCTACCATTGTCTACTGGAAGATATTTTTATACTGATTCATCTCTCAACATTGAACTGAATCCCCAGTCAACGTGTTGGGGAAGATACTCAAAAATGTGCATAATATTTCTAAATTGGGTATCAATTCTTTACAAAACTCAGACAAAGTATAAACATAGAGTTTGTGCTTTTTAAATGATTACGATGCAGTCCGGTAAATGCACCACCTAAGGTTTTGATCGTCTATATTTCTGCTGAATAATTTAAAAATTGAATCAAATTTTATTTGAATCTCTTCACTGAACACTTTTTGTACGTATATCATTTTGAAAATCAACCTAACAAATAGGTCACCTGTGTTTTTAACAGAAGTACGTTTGTCCAATAAGTCCGCCCATCCATAGTAAACATGTATGGAGGGCCTGTTTATCACACATTTAAGAACAACAAAGTAAGGAAATGATGATTTATTAATGGACAACTAAGATAGGAATTCCAGATGAGCAAAATAAAAAAAAAAATTCAAGTCAGTATTATTAAGAAATTGATGAAATAAATAAATAAAGAAAAAAATTAAGAAAAGAAAAAATGTGACTGTAGAAATAGACAAAAATGTTAATAGCATGGAGTATAGTTTTGTGATATGAAATGGCCATTGGTCAGTCTTCTGCAGTTTTAACACACATATTCATCGTCCTTGTCGATGGGTTCAAAGTCTGTGCAGTAGGTCTTGTGCACCCAACCGTTGCACCTTACACACTGATACCACTCCACAAATTTTATTGACAGTTTCAGATCAATCTGACGTGGCTGTCTCCTGCTACAACAGTACAAGCCATGCAAAGCTCAGTATCCTCTTCTTTATCTTCTTCATCGTTGATTTGCTGAGTGTGTTGTTTCTTTTGTTTAAGACCTTTTCCTTTTGTTGAATTGGTTGTAATGGTGTTCTTTCCCTTTTTTGCTGGGGTTGGTCCATCTGATTTACTTGTACTTGCTTTTACTGGTGGAATGAATTTTCTTTTTGTTGTTTTTTTTCTCCGGAACTTTAGCTGGTTTCGGTGCCATGTTCTCCATTGTATTCTGTTCCGAGAACTGTCTTTTGTTATTGCAGCTCCAAATGGTGGAATGAGTTTCTTTCTTGGTTTCCTATTAGTTGTTACTACCATGTTTTCTTTTGATTGTTTAAACTGTTCTGTTTTCTCCTCGAAAAGTATTTTCACTGTTCTGTTATTATGTCTGTCCTTTCTTGATACATTTTTATTACTTGTTTCTATGGTAATAATAGATGGTGGAGCAGTGCTGACTGTTGACTGGTCCAGTGGGAAAATACCAGTTTTTCTAAAGCCTGACATGATGGTTGGCACTGTAAGTGAACTCTTGTATGCTGTTGATATCGTGTGGGAGCAATTCTCTGGTGATAACATTATTTGGATGGAAATGAAGATATTTGTGAAATTCTGTGTCCAGACAATGCTTGAATGGGGCAAACACAGATACGTCCAATGGCTGAAGACAGTGACTTAAATGTGGAGGAAGTACAAATAAATGAACATCTACCTCCTTAGCTGCTTGGATAATCATGATAATGTCACAGTTTATGTGTGTAGTGTGACCATCATAAAGAAGTAAACATGGTCTAACTGTTACATGGCGTAGGAAGTGGTTCTTGAAAAAGTCAAGGAATAAGATAGAGTTGGACCAGCCTGTAAATGAGGTTCTGTATTCTGTGCCTTTTAAACCACCTGATGTTATTTCTTTAGAAATTCTTTCTCCCTTAAATATGATAAATGGAGGAAGGGTTTCACCTAGAGCCTATATGGCTGCAATTATGGTGGTGTTGGCTGAATGACCATGTGTCACTGATTGTGGATTACTACCTTTGATAGCAAGTACCTAAGGTGGATTATGATCAAGAGATATTCCTGACTCGTCTACCTTCCAAATATGAGATGGTCTGTTAAGAATGTCATACTTTTCAAGAATTGTTTTCAATTCAGCAAAGTAATTAGCTATTACTTCTTCTGTAACCGAGTCATCTCTTGCCTTCTCTCTTTTCTTTGGTTTTTTCATTGTCAGCTCTAGAAATCTGGATATAAACCCATAAAACCAGTGTTTAGTTGGTTCCTTTTGCATATAAAGTGCTTTGCACATATTTGAAGCTAAATCAATTACTTGCCTGGCAGCGTGTGAACCCGTAACCTAAATTTGTCATCTTGATGCAATAGGCAGCAAGTTCTTGCTCCTGAACTCTGGTAAATATTGTTGGAGCACCATGGTTTACATCAAGACCTTAAAGGGTCAGCTAAACAGTCCCTCAAAGTAGATCTGGGAATATCATGAATGCTTATGTCAAACTTTTTCATAGATATTTATTAAACATACAGAAACTTTGAAAAAAAACCCAATTTTATTTTTATACGACCGCAAAAAAATTTTTGTGGTCGTATATTGGTATGACGTTGGCGTCGTCGTCGTCGTCGTCCGGCGTCGTCGTCCGAAGACGCATTAGTTTTCGCACTCTAACTTTAGTTTAAGTGAATGGATCTCTATGAAATTTTACCATAAGGTTCAATACCACAAAAGGAAGGTGGGGATTGATTTTGGGGGTTATGGTACCAACAGTTAAGGAATTAGGGGCCAAAAAGGGGCCAAAAATAAGCATTTTCTAGTTTCCAGACAATAACTGTGGAACGGTGTATGGATCTCTCTGAAATTATACTAGAAGTTTCCATACCACAAAGGGATGGTTAGGATTTGCTTTGGGGGGTTATGGCTCAAACCGTTTAAGAATTAGGGGCAAAAAAGGGGGAAAAACAAGGTTGTCCTGGTTAATGGACAAATACTTTAGTACAAAACATAATTTAAAGCAGTGTAAGGGAGATAAATCAAATTCATCATTGAAATTATCTCCCTTACACTGCTTTTAAATTATGTATAAAGTAATGGTTAATGAACAATTAAGATAATTTAAAACAGTGTAAGGGAGGTAATCTAAATACAACGTTTTGGTTACTTCCCTTACACTGCTTTTAAATTATGTTTAAAGAAATGCATATTTATAAAGGAAGACCAGTAAAAATATCTGCAAATGTTGCATCTTTTTTTTTTACAACAAAATCCATATGAAAGATTTGACACTATATTTTAAATTCTATTATAAAATAGATTAAGTTAGCACTATGGTAGATTTAAATGGGTAATTATAGTTGCAAACTCCATTGGAAATTTGAATTGAGATTATGACCATATCTTGAGGGAAAGAATTTTTTTGGGGAAAAAAGGGGGGGGGGGGTTTAAAGAAATTGTGGGGGGTCAATTTTTTCTCATTTCAGATTTCAGAAATTAAAAAGAATTATTCTTCAAATATTATTTTTTTTTCAAATTTCAAATATTGAAAAATTTCAAGAAGTAATCTTTAATTGGACAGTATGCGCATTAGATTTGTAAAATCTTTGACCACATTTATTTATTTGTTATGCCGAATCTAACCGTGTATTTAGATTTTTAATTTTGGGTCCAGTTTTCAAATTGTTCTACATTAAGGTCCAAAGGGTCCAAAATTAAACTTTGTTTGATTTTAACAAAAATTGAATATATGGGGTTCTTTGATATGCTGAATCTAAACATGTATTTAGATTTTTGATTTTTGGCCCAGTTTTCAAGTTGGTCCAAATTGGGGTCCAAAATTAAACTTTGTTTGATTTCAACAAAAATTGAATATATGGGGTTCTTTGATATGCTGAATCTAACCATGTATTTAGATTTTTGATTTTTGGGCCCCATTATCAACTTTGTCCACATTGAGGTCAAAAGGGTCCAAAATTAAACTTAGTTTGATTTTAACAAAAATTGAATTCTTGGGGTTCTTTGATATGCTGAATCTAAAAATGTGTTTAGATTTTTGATAATTGGCCCAGTTTTCAAGTTGGTCCAAGTTGGGGTCCAAAATTAAACTTTGTTTGATTTCAACAAAAATTGAATATATGGGGTTCTTTGATATGCTGAATCTAAACATGTATTTAGATTTTAGATTTTTGGCCCAGTTTTCAAGTTGGTCCAAATTGGGGTCCAAAATTAAACTTTGTTTGATTTCAACAAAAATTGAATATATGGGGTTCTTTGATATGCTGAATCTAACCATGTATTTAGATTTTTTATTTGTGGACCCTGCTATCAAATTGGTTCATATTGAGGTCAAAAGGGTCCAAAATTAAGCTTTGTTTGATTTCAACAAAAATTGAATATATGGGGTTATTTGATATGCTGAATCTAACCATGTATTCAGATTTTTGATATTTGGGCCCCGTTATCAACTTTGTCCACATTGAGGTCAAAAGGGTCCAAAATTAAACTTAGTTTGATTTTAACAAAAATTGAATTCTTGGGGTTCTTTGATATGCTGAATCTTAACATGTATTTAGATTTTAGATTTTTGGCCCAGTTTTCAAGTTGGTCCAAATTGGGGTCCAAAATTAAACTTTGTTTGATTTCAACAAAAATTGAATATATGGGGTTCTTTGATATGCTGAATCTTACCATGTATTTAGATTTTTTATTTGTGGGCCGCTATCAAATTGGTTCATATTGAGGTCAAAAGGGTCCAAAATTAAACTTTGTTTGATTTCATCAAAAATTGAATTCTTGGGGTTCTTTGATATGCCAAATCTAACCGTGTTTTTAGATTTTTAATTTTGGGTCCCATTTTTAAATTGGTCTACATTAAGGTCCAAAGGGTCCAAAATTAAACTTAGTTTGATTTTAACAAAAATTGAATTCTTGGGGTTCTTTGATATGCTGAATCTAAACATGTGTTTAGATTTTTGTTTATGGGACCAGTTTTCAAGTTTGTCCAAGGTGGGGTCCAAAATTAAACTTTGTTTGATTTCAACAAAAATTGAATATAATATGGGGTTCTTTGATATGCTGAATCTAACCATGTATTTTGATTTTGGAAATTGGACCATAATAGGTAAATTAAAAAAATTGAAGTTCTTAGACCACATTCTTTCTGTGTCAGAAACTTATGCTGTGTCAAATATTTAATCACAATCCAAATTCAGAGCTGTATCAAGCTTGAATGTTGTGTCCATACTTGCCCCAACTGTTCAGGGTTCGACCTCTGCGGTCGTATCAAGCTGCGCCCAGCGAAGCATTTTATTGTTATTTTGGCTTTCCATAGTTTTTTAAAATTGAATTGTCTCTCTTTGCTTTAGGCTTAACGTAACTATGCATATGTTTTCTGCTCTATAAAGTGCTTTTAATGATTATTTTTTGGGACAGAAATTGATGACCTGGTATAAAGAAATAGTTAATGTTATATATAGTTTAAACTAGCGCTTTGAAAAATGTTGACCTGATTTACACAACTCATGAATATTAATGAGTGCACAGGCCGTGAAATGTAAACATTACAACATGTGCTTGGGAGATGGGCATAAATTGAGTTTTGTAAGCAGTAATTACATAATCTTTAACTTTAGGAATTGTTTTATATTTTACCTGATTATTCAATTTTATTGTTCTCAGATGTAAAAGCTTTGTTAATTTGCATGTAACAAACTAAATTTAACACCTAAAACAATTGTTATCATATTTAAACATGTTAAATGATATTAAATGTTTTACTTCAGAAAAGCCTAGACTTCCAGACAACTTCCAAGCTTTAACATGGGACAAATTGGCAGAATCAGTGCAGGCCATTCACACAAGCCGCTCTATAAATTCCAGTTTAGAAGAGCTATACCAGGCTGTAGAGAACATGTGTTCTCACAAGATGTCTGCAGCTTTGTATGATCAGCTGAAACAGATTTGTGAAAACCATGTAAAGTCAAATATTACACAGTTCTTGGAATATCCTTTTATCAAAACTAAAGCCTATGGTGTATCATAACTGTATGGGACAAGTATACAAATTTCAGTAATGCTTCCATAATGTTATCAATTTGTAGTAAACCTGCAGTCAGTCATTGAACATTGTAAAGCTTAATACTTGCATATAGTGTGTAACATTTATTATATTAATGCAACATTATCCTACAATTGTATTCTCCTGATTGCCTTGCAGTTTGTGATAAAAGCTTATCAAAGTGAAATTTTATACAATTTAAAATATAATGGATAGAAACTTGACAAAAAATGCTTTATACCATGTGTAGTTCCTTTAAGATGTTACTTTTTAACAGGTAAATGTTCAATATGTCTCGCAGCAAGCCTTGAACTTTGCAATTTTAAAAATACGGTTTGAGATGTTTAGCAGACAAAGTTTATAATGAAATAGAACAAAATGTTTCTCGCAAAACCCGGCGTGAGGTTTGGTAGAGGATTAATACAAAAATTCAGATAGTGTACAGATCAGAAACAAACTTATTTACATTTCATATCATTTGAAAAATACTGCTATTAATTTCATTGCATGATTTGATATTTCTATAATAAACAATGTATAAAGCATAATAAGGTACAGTTAGCTTTTTCTAGTACAGATGGCTATTGTTTAAATGTTAGGCATTTGGATTTTTCTAGTACAGATGGCTATTGGTTAAATGTTAGGCATTTGGATTTTTCTAGTACAGATGGCTATTGTTTGAATGTTAGGCATTTGGATTTTTCTAGTACAGATGTCTATTGTTTAAATGTTAGGCATTTGGCTTTTTCTAGTACAGATGGCTATTGTTAAAACGTTAGGCATTTGGCTTTATTCAATTTAGTAGAAGTCTTCAAGTTACCTTTATAATAAGTCTGTGCATGTATTAAGAAAAGCCATAGAAGAATGGAAAAAGTGAAAACACATTAAAACAATTGAATGAAAAGTGTTTGAAAACCATACAAATTGTGTAAAGCAGACTTGTGTGTAATTTTTATACGACCGCAAAAAAATTTTTGTGGTCGTATATTGGTATGACGTCGTCGTCCGAAGACACATTACTTTTCGCACTCTAACTTTAGTTTAAGTGAATGGATCTCAATGAAATTTTACCATAAGGTTCAATACCACGAAAGGAAGGTGGGGACTGATTTTGGGGGTTATGGTACCCACAGTTAAGGAATTAGGGGCCAAAAATAAGCATTTTTGTAACTTCCAGACATAACTTGTGTGTAAGTGTATGGATCTCTCTGACATTGTACCACAAGGTTCCATATCACAAAGGGAATGCTGGGATTGATTTTGGGGGTAATTGCCTCCAAATTTTAGGACTTAGGGGCAAAAAAGGGGCAAAAAAAAGCATTTTTCTAGTTTCATGACAATAACTTGTGTGTAAGTGTATGGATCTCTCTGACATTGTATCACGAGGTTCCATATCACAAAGGGAATGCTGGGATTGATTTTGGGGGTAATTGTCTCCAAATTTTAGGAATTAGGGGCCAAAAAGGGGCAAAAAACAAGCAGTTTTCTAGTTTCATGACAATAACTTGTGTGTAAGTGTATGGATCTTTATGACATTGTACTACAAGGTTCCATTTCAGAAAGGGAAATCTGGAATTGAGTTTGGGGGTATTTGCCCAAAAAGTTTAGGAATAAGGGGCCAAAAATAAGCATTTTTCTAGTTTCCAGACAATAACTTGTGTGTAAGTGTATGGATCTCTCTGACATTGTATCACAAGGTTCCATATCACAAAGGGAAGGCTGGGATTGATTTTGGGGGTAATTCCCTCAAAATTTTAGTAATTAGGGGCCATAAAAGGGCAAAAAAACAAGCATTTTTATTTCACCTGGCCCAAAGGGCCAAGTGAGCTTTTCTCATCACTTGAGTCCGTCGTCGTTAATTTTTAATTAAAAATCTTCTCCTCTGAAACTACTGGGCCAAATTTGACCAAACTTGGCCACAATCATCATTGGAGTATCTAGTTTAAAAAATGTGTCTGGTGACCCGGCCAGCCAACCAAGATGGCCGCCATGGCTAAAAATAGAACATAGGGGTAAAATGTAGATTTTGGCTTATATCTCTGAAACCAAAGCATTTAGAGCAAATCTGACATGGAGTGAAATTGTTTATCAGGTCAAGATCTATCAGCCCTGAAATTTTCAGATGAATAGGACAACCCGTTGTTGGGTTGCTGCCCCTGAATTGGTAATTTTAAGGAAATTTTGCCGTTTTTGGTTATTATCTTGAATATTATTATAGATAGAGATAAACTGTAAACAGCAATAATGTTCAGCAAAGTAAGATCTACAAATAAGTCAACTTGACCAAAATGGTCAGTTGACCCCTTAAGGAGTTATTGCCCTTTATAGTCAACTTTTAACCATTTTTCGTAAATTTTTGTAATTTTTTACAAAAATCTTCTCCTCTGAAACTACTAAGACAAATTTAACCAAACTTGTCCACAATCATCATTAGGGTATCTAGTTTAAAAAATGTGTCCGATGACCCCGCCCGCAAACCAAGATGGCCGACATGGCTAAAAAATAGTACATAGGGTAAAATGCCGTTTTTGGCTCATATCTCTGAAACCAAAGCATTTAGAGCAAATCTGATGGTATAAAATTGTTCATTAGGTCAAGATCTATCTGCCCTGAAATTTTCAGACCAATCAGGCAACCCGTTGTTGGGTTGCTGCCCCTGAATTGGTAATTTTAAGGAAATTTTGCCGTTTTTGGTTATTATCTTGAATATTATTATAGATAGAGATAAACTGTAAATAGCAATAATGGACAGCAAAGTTAGATCTACAAATAAGGCAACATGACCAAAATTGTCAATTGACCCCTTAAGGAGTAATTGCCCTTTACAGTCAATTTTTTACAATTTTCATAAATTTTGTAAATTTTTACAAAGTATTTTCCACTGTAACTACTGGGCCAAGTTCATAATAGATAGAGATAATAGTAAGGAGCAAGAATGTTCAGTAAAGTAAGATCTACAAACACATCACCATCACCAAAACACAATTTTGTCATGAATCCATCTGTGTCCATTTTTTAATATGCATATAGACCAAGGTGAGCGACACAGGCTCTTTAGAGCCTCTAGTTCTAGTTTCAGGACAATAACTTGTGTGTAAGTGTATGGATCTTTATGAAATTGTACTGCAAGGTTCCATATCACAAAGGGAAAGCTGGGTTTGAGTTTGGGGGTAATTGCCCTAAACATTTAGAAATTTGGGGCCAAAAAGGGGCCAAAAAACGAGCATTTTTCTAGTTTCCAGACAATAACTTGTGTTCAAGTGTATGGATCTTTATGAAATTGTACTACAAGGTTCCATATCACAAAGGGAAAGCTGGAATTGAGTTTGGGGGTATTTGCCCAAAAAGTTTAGGAATAAGGGGCCAAAAATAAGCATTTTTCTAGTTTCCAGACAATAACTTGTGTGTAAGTGTATGGATCTCTCTGACATTGTATCACAAGGTTCCATATCACAAAGGGAAGGCTGGGATTGATTTTGGGGGTAATTCCCATGAAAATGTTAGTAATTAGGGGCCATAAAAGGGCAAAAAAACAAGCATTTTTCTAGTTTCAGGACAATAACTTGAATGTAAGTGTATAGATCTTTATGAAATTGTACTGCAAGGTTCCATATCACAAAGGGAAAGCTGGGTTTGAGTTTGGGGGTAATTGCCCTAAACATTTAGGAATTTGGAGCCAAAAAGGGGCCAAAAAACAAGCATTTTTCTAGTTTCCAGACAATAACTTGTGTTCAAGTGTATGGATCTCTCTGAAATTGTACTGCAAGGTACCATACCACAAAGGGAAAGCTGGGATTGAGTTTGGGGGTGATGAATCATAAGGGGGTTCAAAAAATTGGGGGGGATTTTTTTTTCCTTTTTTTTCTTTAAAATTTTCCATTTTAAATTGGTTATTTCTGCTTTATATATAAAAGCAAATAATAATGATATGGTTTGAATAGGTAAATTAAAAAATTTTAAGTTCTTATACCACTTTCATTCTGTGTGAGAAACCTATGCTGTGTCAAATATTTAATTACAATCCAAATTCAGTGCTGTATCAAGCTTGAATGTTGTGTCCATATTTGCCCCAACTGTTCAGGGTTCGACCTCTGCGGTCGTATAAAGATGCGCCCCAGCGGAGCATTTTATTAGGTTTTGGAATTTATAACAAAGTTGTGGTTTGGACCGTTACCATTTAAAATATCATGTCTATTGAATTTGTCTCAGCCAAAATTAATGCAGAGAGTACAATATTTGACAGGTAGTGTTACTTTGTTGTATGCAAAACATATTCATGATTAGATAACTCCTTAGTTGGTATTTGGTTTAACAACAATGACTTTGTCTGGAAAAATCTCAAGCGATCAAAAGCTCATGTTCACTTTTTAACTATTACATTAAAACATATCAGTTGTAAATATGTATGTTCCTTAACACTCCATACAGATAACATTGGATATGAACAGTTTCTAAAGAAGATGGATAACATTTGGCAATCTCACTGTAGACAGATGGTAAATAGATTCATTTATTTTGACCTGGGTTTTTGTTAAATGTTTAGACTTTTTTTTTAATTATTATTCAATAACATATATTGCACTTCTGCTGTTAACAACTTAATTTAGATAAAAAATTTAGACAGCAAAAAAAGTGTCTGTTAGATATAATAAGATAGTCTGGTATTTATTTTTATTGAAAATGAAGAATAAGCAATCTTTTTAACTTCATTTTTTACCGTATTTTCTAACGAAAAATCAGTTATTGATTTGGGGATGTACAGCGGACAGGGAGGGCGACAGCCAAACAGTATCCGTTTATTAACATGAAAACTCTTTGACGAAATTTTTTCAAATTTTGATATGTTGTTTCCTGTGACTAAATGAAGGTCAAGTCAATTTTCATGATTTTAGCTTTTCTCGTTGTTGAGTTGTATGCCTTATAGGTTACAATACACCATTAGATTTTATGGGCGCAGCCATTTTATGAGCATAACATGGTATTCAGAATTAAGAGTATAGCTAATCCTGATTGGTTGATATGTGCGCCCGTTATTTTTTGTTATTAGAGACTTCGTGCATTCTGCATTATACCAAAGGCCTAATAAATTATTTTCCTTAGCCCTAACGGAACTGAGATGTCTTTTAAACGCTAGGATGAGACACGTATTTTTAAGTGCAAAATTGATAGGCATGGGAGATAAGTACAAATTACGCTAAGAAAAGCAACGCGAACCTATATTTTTTGGACCAAAAAATACTGTCCTAATAACTTTTCTTTAATTCTAGCAAGGATTCGTTAAAAAAATCAACTTTCTAAAGTCTGTATCTCGAAAAAGGCTATCATTGTCGCCTATGGGGAAATTAATTGTTTATTTTAATCTATACAATGTCGACATTTCTTTATCATAGTGCTCAAAAAGTGTCAAAAACAGTAATTTTACTTGATATTTGATGTGAAACCGTATTTTTTGGTGACAAATGAATTATTGATTAACTAGTTTTTAAGCTATAGTCTGTTTCATATTTGTATTGCGTTTTACCTTAGAAACAAGGGTGGGTTCGACTTTTGACTTACTGTGGAGAGAATATGTCATTTTCTGAACTTCTGCTGATTTGTTTGAAAAAAGCACGTACACGTCTAGAGTTTCAATATACAAATCGATTTTTAAACATGACAATCTCGATCCAAGTGCTGTTATCGAAATTACCAAATTCAGTGAAAATGTACAGAAATGATCCCCTTCGAACATTGAAATGTTCACTCGAATGGCAGACTATAAAAATTAGAATAGGCATGAAATTTTGTAGTTAACGAATAGTTTTCGATGTTTAAACACAAATATTTACACATTTTTCATATTTTGAAATGCTATAGTCTGTTTCAAAAATGTACTTTTATACGAAAATGGTTTCATTTAAAACTGTTGTTCAAAATTCACCGTAGTAGTTACATATTGGATCGGTTTTGGTATCAATATAATCAGTACTTGATGACATATAAATAATCATTGGAGAAAGTGGACATTATCTTCAGGCCCTTTTTAGCAGTACCGCATTTACTCAAAAAATCAGAAATTTTTTTTTCACATTTTTTGACTGGGGTCACCTCTGATAAAAAATTGTAAAAATTCAGAGAGTAATGCCAAAACGTTTTGAAGATGATTTTTGTGTGGCATATATATTAGTTCATCTAACGAACTATGAATTGCATGATTCTAGAAAGTATTAAATACCGTATAGGTTACAATACACCATTAGATTTTATGGGCGCAGCCATTTTATGAGCATAACATGGTATTCAGAATTAAGAGTATAGCTAATCCTGATTGGTTGATATGTGCGCCCGTTATTTTTTGTTATTAGAGACTTCGTGCATTCTGCATTATACCAAAGGCCTAATAAATTATTTTCCTTAGCCCTAACGGAACTGAGATGTCTTTTAAACGCTAGGATGAGACACGTATTTTTAAGTGCAAAATTGATAGGCATGGGAGATAAGTACAAATTACGCTAAGAAAAGCAACGCGAACCTATATTTTTTGGACCAAAAAATACTGTCCTAATAACTTTTCTTTAATTCTAGCAAGGATTCGTTAAAAAAATCAACTTTCTAAAGTCTGTATCTCGAAAAAGGCTATCATTGTCGCCTATGGGGAAATTAATTGTTTATTTTAATCTATAGTAGCCAAAAGTTGTACTTATTATATGATTGAGTTTTTTCCCTTTGAACAGAAATGGCAAATCATTTTCATCAGATAATAATCTATTTTTATTAAAGTATATATTTCATTACATTACATTGTGTAGATACAGCTGTTGACATTGATAGGTAAGTTGCAGATCGATATTAGTTTGTGACAAATGAAAGACAAAATATTGGGAACTATTAATTATATATATAAAGTTTGATTACACTAAGTGTTTTTAAATAATTTTCACCTGTTATCAGATTACAAAGTATGTGGTAAATATCAATCACACAATTATAATTGGAGTGACAGATTTATTTGAAAATTTTCTGTTTCCTAAGTGCTGCTGATGATAAACTCTGTAGGACTGTTTAAATATTGTATTTACTGTTCATTATTAGACATTTTGAAGATAATTACAGATAAGTTTTATAGATTTTTAAAAGACATTGTATTAATGATAAATGACATTTTGGATTTTTTTCTTCTTGTCTTTGGTAAATTGTTTGAAGAATTTTGTGGTAGGTTTGTTTGTTATTCTGTATAAACTAATTTTCTGAATGCTATATATATTTTATTTTTTGATGAAGCAAACTCCTTTAAAAACTAAGCTTATATTGTCTTTTAATAAACATATATTTAGATTTCTGATTTTGGGTCCAGTTTTCAAGTTGGTCAAATCGGGGTCCAAAATTAAACTGTGTTTGATTTCAACCTATCTTTGAAATGCTGAATCTAAACCTGTATTTATTTTTATTATTAATTCGATCATACCACATTGAGGTCCAAAGGGTCCTAAATTAAACTTTGTTTGATTTCATCAAAAATTGAATTCTTGGGGTTCTTTGATATGCTGATTCTAACAATGTACTTATATTTTGAATATTGGACCATAATAGGTAAATGTCCGATTTCAAATTTTTCAGTTCTTTGACCACATTCATTTTGTGTCACAAACCTATGCTGTGTCAAATATTCAATCACAATCCAAATTCAGAGCTGTTTTAAGCTTAAATGTTGAGTCCATACTTGCTCAACTGTTCAGGGTTTGACCTCTGCAGGAAAATCCGGTTTGCTGTCACTCTGACAGCCTCTTGTTTTGGTATTGTTTTTATGTATCGAGGGTTAGAAAGATATGTTGGTAAATTAATCAACTTCTTAGTGAATATTTGCCATACATATTTTGTTATCACACTTTCCTGTGCCTACATGTATATCAACTGCTCAGTCACCCCATAATTCTCATATCAAGTCTTTTAGAAATGACCAGAACTTATGAATGATATGACAATGTGTGAGGAGAAGTTATCAGCAACGTCACAATATGAGAGCATAACTTATTAAGCTTCCTATCATTATGACAACCAAGCAAAAAACTGTCCTTATGATGGGAAATACTACAATAAACAGGTTATCAGGTATTCAGCATAGATAAAATATCAGCCTCTCAACAAACTGGAGCTTTTTTCGCTCTTCGTTGCACTCACTTGTCATAAAGATTCACATTGTGGCTCACAGCTGTGATATTTTATGATTACAAAAGTGCAGAAAACAAGATACATGTAATATATATGTATCAGCCAGACAGTAAACATTTGTAACATATATTTGGAAGTTCAATCAAAGCAAAAAAGCACATAATGTAAATCTTCTCTTGTAGGACTTGTACTGCATGATTTGAAATTTTGATTAATACAATTATTAATTGGTTCTTAGGTCAACATATCATAAGTTGTATTTCTAATTTAATTTTGTTTCAGATAATGATCAGAAGTATTTTCCTGTTTTTAGACCGAACTTATGTTTTACAGACTTCATCAGTGATGTCTATATGGTGTGTATTATTTGAATTTTCAATAGATGTTGCATGTGGGGGAAATTTTAACAAATTATGAGACAGCCTTATTGCATTATTGATTTCTTTAAGAAGCAATTGAACTTTTAAATGAGAACTGTATCTTTATTGCTAGAACAAATCCAATATGACCTTAATTTATTTCATATGAATGAAAAATATTAACATGTTTAGTATAACAAAATATGATGATGTTTTCCTGTCTGCTTCCATAAGTTGATCCCTTATCAAGTTAAAGTTTTGGTTTAAGATAGATTAAAGTTTGGTTTAAGTTGATTTACCATGAACTTGAAACGTAGTTCAAGTATTCATTATGATATAAACGTTTCATATACACAAAATACATTGTATATCATATATGAGTTTTGACCCAGATGTTCACTGAACATGGCGATCTCAGATAGTGCAAGTGGGGCATGATTTCCTATAGGCATATATTCTTGTTTATTGAAAACATTAAACTGCAATGAACATTTTTGCTATATGTTTATATCCTATAATCAATGCAACTCTTTTTAAAATTCTTTATACCTGAAAAACTTATTGAAATTTTTAGGGATATGGGACTAGATTTATTTAGATCAAATATTGTTGGGCATCACATTGTACAGAACAGAACAGTGGAAGGATTGTTACAGTTAATTTCAAGGGAGAGAAGTGGAGAGGCTGTGGATCGACAGTTAATGAAGTCTTTACTCAGGATGTTGTCAGATTTACAGGTAATTGTTCATTCTATAAAACAGATGCAACTTTAATGGACTACTGTACTTTTAATGTTTTTTTTTATATATATATATATAAAAGAGATAGATTCAGTTTGAAGTGTTTTCAAAATTTTCTTTTCAGGGCCTGGTAGAAATCTGAATCTAAATTTCGTGTTTAAGCTATGAATTTTTTCTGCAGATTATATAAGAACTACATTGCAATTATGTTATTCTTGGATGGTTTCCTTTCAGATATGTATACATTGTATATTTATGGAAGCCACTACCATAAATAGAAATTGAATAAAAAGTATTTAAAACATTTCATTTGGGCATATCTGAACTATTCATTCACAGAATTTTCATCAAATCACCTAGACTGACAACTTGTCCAAACATGACGTGAATGTTCACAAAGATCTCAAGTTTCATAATTTAAGTCAACCATGCAACTTTGTCAGCTGTTCAAAAACCATACATTGTTCTAAATTAAAAAAATGAATATAGTTGACATAAAATTGAATAATTGTAGATATATCATGACTCTTTTGAAAAGAAATTCTTAGAAGCAACAGATAGACTGTATGCAGCTGAGGGTCAAAGGTTAATGCAAGAAAGGGATGTAAGTATGAAAGTCCAAATGGACTGTATTTAAGGAAAAATGTTTACACATTGAAAACAGTGAAATTTCTAACAGATTGACATATATAATGAGGGACAATGAGTAAAAAATAAGAACTGCTAATTTTGACGAAAAGTAATTGAAATTAAGTTTAAATTTCTTGAAAAGACATTATTGTATTCCATCAGATTCAAGTATTATACGGTAACATCTATGGTAAAATTACATATACATTGGAATGTTGTAGTAATCTGCTTAAAACCTGTCAAGTGATTTCAATTAAGTTTTATAAGCTGTCTGCTGAAATCTCAATAAGTCGTAGGTTTGGTAATTATAAATTGTTTCAAATGAAGTGTGTTTCAAGTTAATGCTAAAACAGTAAAGAAGAACAATATTTGCCAAGTCTTCTGGTAAAGAGTTGTCACTTACACCCTCCAAATCAACCAAAAATGGAGATTTGGAAAAAATGATAAAATTCTCTTGAATTCCCCATAAATAGAGATTTGGAAAAATTGATGAAATTCTCTGGATTTCCCCATAAATAGAGATTTGGAAAAATTGATAAAATTCTCTAGATTTCAACCACATTTAGGCCTAGGAAATATCAAGTGCAGCATTCAACAAATTAAATGTTTCCAGTCGAACAGATTATTTGCTATAACAAACATGTGGATAATGTTAAAACTACCTTTTTTTTTAACCATGACATGTGTCCTATATGCTTCTGGTCCTAAAAACCAATTGAAATTGTTTTCTTGAATTTTGTTGAAAATTGAAATTCATGTTAAGATAAGAAAATAGCTCTTTTTTTCAAACAATTTTTTAATGGAATCAAATATCACAGATAATTTATATCAATAATATCTGATGGTTGTTGTTTTGAAAATATGACAATTGGAACAAGCGAGAGAATCTCATATTAAATATCCATATGAAAAGAAGATTTTTGATGTCAGATTTATATCTTTATTATTTAACAGTTGAGTTAAGATAAAGTACTGTTATATGTTTTGTTTCATTTTTATTGAATTAGAACCTTTTGCGTTGTGTAGCTTCTTTGTAAAAAAGAACTTTCACCAAGTCTTCGTAGATGAAATTTCAGATTTCTTGGCTTTTGTGTTGATAAACTGTGATATGCAATGTTTTAACTACTTCATTTACAGGTGCCAGAATACCTAGCTTATGTTGACAAAAGACTTGGAGAAGAGAATGAGAGACTCCTCCATTATCTTGATCCGTCAACAAAGTAGGTTTCATTACTCTTAAACTTAATTAATTTTAAATCAGCCATTCATTATGAAGCATATATACATCCTTTTGAACAAATCAGAAGGTAATCAGATGAGAAAATATTGCAGATTGAATTATTCCTTTGTACAAAACCTTTGAAGATTAATAAAGTATGAAGTTAAATTGTATATTTGGGTTAAGGTCCATATGTAAGCAACTACAAGTCAGATAGAAACTTTAAAGAAGGATCTACCAAATATTGTATCATCTTGATCAATATATATTTATTTTTTATTCTGGATATATTTTAAGTTAAGATTCAGATCCAAGCAGCTATAACTCCTAGAGAAAAAAGTAATGTGACTGGAATATATGCAGACTTAGCATGTTATTTCTCATAACCAAGTTTCACATTTCTGTTGGGTTTAAAGATGTTTATGGTGTTACATCAGTTGTATTTTACCATTTTACCTTTATCTTAGTGCAAAAGTTAGTTCTTGAGTTTTTATGCCCCCGCCGTAGCGGAGGGGGCATTAAGTTTTACCCTTGTCCGTCTGTACGTACGTCCCAAAATTGGTTTCCGTTCTCTAACTTTAGTTTGCCTCAACCAAATGTTATGAAACTTATACACAATGCTTATTACCACAAAACACAGATTAAGTTTGAATTTTGGTGGCGTCACTTTTACCCTTCTAGAGTTATGCCCCTTTACAAATGGAAAATTGCTGAATTTATCGTTTCCATTCTCTAACTTTAGTTTGCCTCAACCAAATGTTATGAAACTTATACACAATGCTTATAATCACAAAACACAGATCAAATTTGAATTTTGGTGGCGTCACTTTAACCGTTCTAGAGTTATGCCCCTTTAGAAATGGAAAAATTGCTAAATTTTTATTTTCTTCTAAATATCCAGTTATATTTTAAATTGGAGTTATCTTTCTTTTTTCATGATTATAGTTGAATTTGGGTAGTGTCACTTTATCCATTATTGAGTTATGCCCCTTTATAAATCGAAAGATTGCAAAATTTTTAGTTTCCATTCTGTAACTTAAGTTTTCCCCAACCAAACATTATGAAACCTATACACAATATTCATTACCACAAAACTAAGATCAAGTACATATTTTTTGTTTCCGTTTTCTAACTTTAGTTTGCCTCAACCAAATGTTATGAAACTTATACACAATGCTTATTACTACATAATACAGATTAAGTACGAAATTTGGTGGCAACACTTTTACCATTCTTGAGTTGTGTCCCTTTATAAACATAAAAATTGCTGAATTTTTCGTTTCCCTTCTCTAACTTTAGTTTGTCTCAACCAAATGTTATAAAACTTATACACAACCGTTCTCGAGTGTTTACAAATAGAAAAATTGCTGAATTTTTAGTTTCTGTTCTTTACTTAAGTTAGCCTCAACCAAATGGTATGAGACTTGCACACAGTGCTTATTACCACAAAACTCAGATCAAGTTCAAATTTGGGTAGCGTCACTATCACCGTTCTTCAGTTATGTCCCTTTATAACTATATGATATGCCAGCGGGGGCATCATCTGTGTCCACATGTGGACACTATCCACATTTATTTTTACCATGAATACATATGCTGTATACAGATATAAAATGATTACTTTTATATTTCAGGAAGAATTTGATTTCTTGTGTTGAAAAACAGTTACTGGATCAACACTTAAATACAATTTTACAAAAAGGTAAGTAAAGATATGTAAAATGCTAATCAGACCAGAGCATTGTTAAAGGGGGAAGTCCTTAAACCCATATTATTTAGAAAAAATAAGTCACATGTATTTGTCAGTTTTTGGTCTTTTGCATTCTTTAAATCTAAATATGTAACTGATAGTCAAAACTAGCAAATGTGGGGATAAACTCATAAAACTGTAATTGAATATTTTATATTAGGCCACACTTAAAAAAATTTTAAATTTGATGTTGCCTACCCATGCCTTGTTGGGTTGGGTAGGTAGACTGGGATTTTATTGTATGATTGAAATTAAATGATATTAGTTATATAGTTTGATATTTAATATTACATGAGTTATGTGCATTTAAATATACTGCAAATAGTTAAAATTACAAATATTCATTTTATTGAAATGGTTTATATTGTTACTTGTAGGTCTGAATCAGTTGTTATCAGAGAACAGAATACAGGATCTCAGTTTAATGTATCAGTTGTTTTCTAGAGTAAAGGACGGGTTGAAAGAACTTTCCGTAGCATTTGCTGCATATATCAAAGTATGTACCAAATCATTATATTGATTGTCATAAAATGTTAACTTGGGTACTGTTTTGTTGATATGTACTCTCAACTTTATAACTGTGTCTGTCTTATTGATCAGGTGAGTGATTTGAATTAACTCAGGAGGTTGATTTAGTGATGTCTAAGCTTTTCACAAACTTCATTTAGAATCCAGTTTGTAATGTGCTTGTTGGCTATAATGTTAATGCAGAATGATGTTGATTCATTCATTTTTCGTGGATACCAACTTTTTGTGGATTTAAAGAAAATTACAATTTTTGGGATATTTGATTTCATGGTTTTGAAAAAGACTGCATACAATTACAATCTATAGAAAAATTTGTTCTTCATTGAACATTAAAATTCATGGTTCATCTTTACACACGAAATCCACGAAAATTGGTATTCCAGGAATAATAATGAATCCACAGTAAAAAAAAAATCAGCAATTTAACTATCATGTACAGAAGACTTCACTTCTCCTATATCTTAAATGTTTACAAGTAAATCAGATAAGGAGTCGTTCTATCCTAGAACAATCTGCGAGTGGAACACCTTGCCTAACTGTACTGTTTCTGCCCTGTGTCCTGAATATTTCAAGGCTGAGCTCTGTTATTAAACTTAAATTATATAATTTTGCTTACACCTATACATGAACTGAACCAACTTTTTGATTATTGAATTATCCCCTGTGAGAATTGTAATCCACAATGAATACTGCATGCATTTATTATCTTCACCACAAAAGATGATCATGATTAAATAATGTGATATCTATTAAAATGAAACTTTTTATGATTCATCTTGCCCTTTATTTCCTATTAATAAAAACATTGCATTTATTAATGGATTTACACAGCTACCTATGTTATTTCTGAGAAGAGGTTGAACAATGCTTTAGATAAGATTTAAGGATGGTGCTTTCGCTGAAGGACAGTTATAGGCAGTCTCACTTTTTAAAAGAGAGAGCAATAAAATTATATAGTTTAAGCAAGCTTAAGTTTGTTTGTAATAATTTTTTATATGGAGGAAATTAATTCTTTTGCCTTTTTTTTGCAGACTACAGGTCGTCTCATTGTGGTAAACACTGACAATGATCCAGAAAAGGACAGAGATATGGTTCAGAAATTGTTAGGTATGACACTTAGATGAAGAACAACAATGAAATCACTGTTTCTTTGATAAAATTAGTTATTTCGTAGTATTCAATGACATTTGTATTATGGTTACATCTTTCCATTTATAATCTTTAGGATTATTGCCACTTGATATTAAACAAAGAGTAATCAATCAATCAATTATACTTAAATGTATTGATTGAGATCAAAAGACATTTATTTCATTTATAGAATTTAAAATTTATATTTATTTTGTTATTTTTTAAAATGCTGATTTTATAATAATTAGATATCATCTATATTGGGTTTGATATATCTTTTTTTGTAAGTTGCCGCTATGAATTTTTTAAACAATAAAGTCAGTCTTATAGTTAGTAATAATTTGTCATGTAGACTTTCAGATTGCCAGAACTTTGTACTTGTCTTATTAAAACTGATGCAAGCGGTGTCAATTTGTATTATAAATATCAAAACTTTTTTTCAGATTTTAAAGAAAAATTAGATAATGTGATAGACATTTGCTTTGCCAAAAATGAAAAATTTATCAATGGTTTGAAGGAAAGCTTTGAACATTTTATTAACCAGCGACAGAACAAACCTGCAGAACTTATAGGTATTTATATTATGAACAAATATTATATATGCCAAAGTGTAGATAACCTGTGAAAAATAGAAATATAACTATTTTTCTAAAGAAAAAATTCTTGAAAATATACTGAATATTTATAACAGTAAATCATTATTTAAAATAAAACAAATTAAGCATATAGCTTTCATAAACATAATTCTTATAGAAGGATCAAAGGAGATATGGGGTATAATCAACAAAACAGCAACAGAACAACACAATTAAATATAAAATAGACATGTATAAGTCAACTTTTGTTCCCCAGTCAGATGAGTCTCCACATCAGTTTGGGAATATATCCATGAGAGCAACACAAAGGAAAAAAAAGTAGATATTGATAGGTCAAATTTTGTTCAACAATTGGATGAGTCTTCACACCAAATTCCTTTAGGTAGAAGTATCTGAAGATATACCAAAAGCAATATATAATCCCAAAGTTTTTAGTCTATGTTACATAGTTAAAAACTTTATTTCATGGGAACCTAAAAACAATTTTAGATTTGCCATGTTGGTGTATTGCAAAATAATGTTTGTATAATTGGTAACACCAAAAACAGGAAAATATTGTTTTATTATGTGTGTTGTAGTTATGTGTTCAAGTTATATATAAAATATAATTTTACATCTTTCAGCAAAATATGTTGATTCCAAGTTACGTTCTGGAAACAAGGTAAAAATTTAATTTTTTTGTTTATTTTGGTGGATGTAGAATTCATTTTAAGATTACTTCTCAAAAACAATTGTATTCACGACAAGAACATTCATTGAAGAACATAGATCAAAAAAGATGTTGCAACTGGAATTTTATTTTGGTTGGGCATATTTGTACTAAGCAATATTGAATTAAATTTCCAGCATTGCAGGCTCTACATTGTTACAATCTGCAGCAAATCCATGTTTCCACAAAAAGTAACATTATTATGGTTAGGAACAAACCAGTATTTCTGAATGCCTTTATTTATACTGGTATAATTGATTAATGTATATTTAAAATTAGAATTGTTTTATGTGTATATAATGTGTAAAAAATTAACCAGAGTACATTTATATACTCCCTCAGGCAAAATTGACCTTTGATAGAATTGGCTATTTTTTATGTCCTTTTTGGTCATATAGCTCTTCAACTTTTTGAATTCTTATCCATCCTTGACTTTCAAATATTCAGCTTTTAGCGTTCCTGATGAAGGTAAATCCACGGTTCTTATCCATCATTGGCTTTCAACTATTCAGCTTTGAGCATTCCTGATGAAGGTAAATCCAGAAAAGCGCTTTAGATGCATAAAATTTATAACGTGTTGTTTAAATTTTTTATATAAAAAACTTCAATCTTAATTCTATATAATGGAAGGGGATCCTATATTTATTATTTGGAAAATTAAGTATTAATTTTTGATTTCAGGAAGCAACAGAAGAAGAACTAGAAAGACTGTTAGACAAAATAATGGTCCTTTTCAGGTTTATTCATGGTAAGACTGATAATTTTGAACCTTTTTGGTGAAATATTTTAGGAGATTTTATGGTCAGATCATTTGATAAACATTTTCATATTCTATTTTTGTTAAATACTCATGACAGGTGATTATTTGGCAGTTTGATATAATATTTATAGTTTTACTCTGTTGTTCTTTTATGTCATTTAAATTCTAGTGCATATATGTAGAAATTATGAACAAAGCCATTTCTTGGATTGCAAGTTTATGTCAGATGGTATTGTTCTATTGTATCATGCTAAACAATTTTTTTACTCTTGATAGGTCATTGAAATGGCTTTAAAAGTATAAATGGGTATAGTAAGTTCAGCTTTTCACTGCCATTTTCACTTTGAACAGGTAAAGATGTATTTGAGGCATTCTACAAAAAAGATTTAGCCAAAAGGTTGTTGGTGGGTAAAAGTGCTTCTGTGGATGCAGAGAAATCAATGTTATCTAAGCTCAAACAAGGTAAAATATCAAATGAATGTTAGCATGTATTTTGTATAGTTGCAGTTTGAATATTAGTCCCCTACCGACGAAGTCGAAGAGGACTTTAGGTTTGCAATCTGTCGTCTGTCCGTCTGTCTGTCCATCTGTCAGTCCGGCAAATCAGCTTTCCACACTTTATTTCTTCGTTCTTGAAGATATTATTTGATATTTGGTATATAGTTTTGCCATGACAAGTTATAGATCAAGTTCGAATTTTGTTCCGGTCTGATGATTAAGTCCAGAGTTATGGACCATAACTCAGGACCATATCTAATGTTAGAGTACTATGTTAAACCATATTTCTGTACAAAGGGAGATAACTCATTTTTTAAAAGAAATTCTTTGGTAAATTATTTGAAGAATTTTTTGGCAGGTTTGTTTGTTATTTTGTATAAACTAATTTTCTGAATGCTATATATATATAAAAAAAAATTATGAAGTGAAATCCTTTAATTAGATAATAATCTATTTTTATTAATGTATATATTACATTACTTTGTGTAGATAAAAATTGTTGACATTTTATAGATAAGTTACAAATCTATATTAGTTTGTGACAAATAAAAGAAAAAATATTTGGAACTATTAATTATATTTGATTATAATTTGAAAATAGATATACACTGTATTATATCCAAGGCTTCCAAAACGGTCATTTATTCCGGACATTTGTATAATGTCCGGTAAAAGTCCGACTGGGCAAATCATGAAACGGTCATCTACTTTTTAGTTTTCAAGGCTTTCTTAAGAGACGGTCATTTGAACATAATTCGCGATCTTTTTGACCCAACCTTTTGCCTTTAACAGCCATACATAATGACACATTTCCGTTCATAAAAGTGACATGATCATTAAGTTCTATCAAAACAACCCCTACTTTAATACCTTCTCATTTAAACAAGGCTAATTAGTTGTCGAACAGCTGAAATTTACCTGCTCAGGTGACAGGTAAACTATTTTGAACCGGACATTGATCAGTCTAATCAAAGTTATTTTCTTACATTTCAGCGGTTTGCATCTAATTAATTTAGTCAAAAAGATTTAAATTATCAGATATAAGTTTACAAATATGATTTGATGAAAAAATTAAAAAGGTGAAAATGAAAAATCGTCATAACCACTTTGTTTGAACCAGAGACATAACACTGTTTGAACTAGTACACGTGTGCGCAGGTGTGAAATTTAATTATGCATCCTAATTTCTTCAAAAATTTTTTAAATTGTCATGGATTCCTTTATCTTACGTTTATTTCGAATATTTTCTTGAAGAAATCACGTAGAAAGAGCTACTTACACTCATTCATGCTTTGCAAACGTACACGGAATTTACGTATCGTCTCTGGTCCATGTTTTACCATTGTCAAGATAACATATGGTATTAGATTTAAAAACGAAAGTAAAGTTTTTGACAACGTTATTTTGCACAAATAAAGAGTCTAAGGCAGATATAAGTACGCTGATGTTGCACACTTCGAATGATGCACTGCCAATTTAACAGTTTACGTCAGAACTTCGAATTTGAATCAAAGAAAGTTTAATATCATTTTTTTTTAATGTCAATCATTGGGATGGCCAACTCGGCAACTGATTACCATAATTGCCTTTTGTTTATTTTGTCTTAAGGGATTAAATTCGGGATAATATATAAAATGTCCGGCTGGCTAAAAATAATTTTGGAAGCCCTGATTACATCATATCTAATTTTAGAGAACTATTAATCATATCTAATGTTAAAGTGTTTTCCACACTTTTTTCATCATGCTTGAAGATATTGATTGATAATTGGTATATAGTTTTATCATGACAAGTTATACAGATCAAGTTCAAAATTTTGTTTCGGATAATTTTGTGCAGAGTTATGGTCCTTGGACTTGAAAAATTCACTCATTTAATCAGTTTTCCACACTGTTTTTAGTCATGCTTGAAGATATTGACTTGATATTTTCTTTTTGTTTACACCCTGACAAGTTATAGAACAAGTTAGCTTTTTGTTCCAGTATAATGAATTTTTACCCGGTAGGGAACTATGTATTGCCATGCAATACTCTCAGAATGCTTGTTCTTATTGAAATCTAATAATGCAGATAAAAGCTCTTCACAAACTTATTTGTGAACTTACTTAAAATAATGAAAAACATCTAGGTCAGGAACAGCAAGATACTCAAGGCTGATCGTACCTTTATGAAAGCCTGAAATATATTGATCAAGATTTAATACACATATGGGTAGTTTAATTATCTTTATATATAATATGTATATGTATAATATACATTAAATTACTATAACTAGATTCTTGATAGAAGAATTTTAGTTGCTGTGTACCTAGATTAGGCTTAATCAAATAGGATAATATTAATTAACTCGAAAAAAGTTATTGTTCCCATCAGCTATTGAAAAAAATGTAAAGTTATATTACATGCAGTTTATCAGTCATTGTCGTTGTCTTTCAGAATGTGGAGCAGCATTTACTAGTAAATTAGAAGGCATGTTTAAAGACATGGAACTGTCTAAAGACTTTATGTTGACATTTAAACAACAAATGCAGCATATTGATACCCCTGGTGGGATAGATTTAACTGTCAATATATTAACTATGGGCTATTGGCCCACGTATATGCCAATGGAAGTACATCTTCCTGCTGAAGTAAGTATTGTATCAGTATAGACAACGGTAGATTAGAATACAAGTCTAAATTCAAAGGTCGTGAAAATAGATATTTACAACCCATATAAAGAAGTTGTTACTTTTCCATCTGTCCTGATATATCTCACAACAAAGCTTCTAAAAGGTCTGAGTTTTAGCTAAGTAAGTTTTTACATAAAATAGAGTTGCCATCTGATCTGATTTTGGTTATTTTGAGGGCACTAATCATGAATAAAACCCTTTTTTTATAGTAATGGTAGCAGTATTGTTCTGACAATGTAATCAGTTTATGATATTATTAATATTACATTGTTTGCAGTCAAATTAAAACTGATATTGTGTGAAATTAATCCTGTATTTTCACTCCTCTGATGTCCTACAAGTTACAACAATAGGTGTTGCCAAGATGTCAACGAAGTTGCAGTTCAAGGGAGAGATAGTTGACTGAATAGTGAATTCATATCAATAAAAAAAAAGATTAGATGAAAAAAATGATTACTTCAAGAATTCAAATATCTAAAAATATTCACCTTGAGGTGACTGAACAGTACACTGAGGGGGAGTGTGTGCCAGAGTTATATTTGATTGGTAATCAAATATGATTAGTATTAGTTAATATAGTTGTAGTCATATATTTAGTTAGTTTGCTTATTAGTTCCCTACAAACTAAGTCCAAGAGGACTTTAGGTTTGCACTCCGTCAGTCAGTCTGTCTGTCTGTCTGTCTGTCTGTCCGTCTGTCTGTCTGTCTGTCTGTCCGTCCGTCCGTCCGTCAGTCCGGCAAAAAAGTTTTCCACACTTTTTTTCTTCGTGCTTGAAGATATTGATTTGATATTTGGTGTATTGTTTAATCATGACAAGTTACAGATCAAATTCGAATTTTGTTCCGGTCTGACGATTTTGTGCAGAGTTATGGTCCTTGAACTTTGAAAATTCACTCAAATAATCAGTTTTCCGCACTTTTTTTTGTCATGCTTGAAGATATTGATTTGATGTTTGGTATATAGTTTTATCATGACAAGTTATAGATCAAGTTTGAATTTTGTTCCGGTCTAATGATTTTGTGCAGAGGTGTGGTCCTTGGACTTAGAAAATTCACTCAAATAATCAGTTTTCCTCACTATTTTTCGTCATGCTTGAAGATATTGATTTGATGTTTGGTATATAGTTTTATCATGACAAGTTACAGATCAAGTTCCAATTTTGTTCTGGTCTGATGATTTTGTGCAGAGTTATGGTCCTTGGACATAGAAAATTAACTCAAACAATCAATTTTCCACAATTTTTTTTGTCATGCTTGAAGATATTGACTTGATATTTGTTATATAGTTTACACCATGACAAGTTAAAGATCAAGCTAGAATTTTGTTCCAGTACAATGAATGTTTAGCCAGTAGGGACTATGTATTGCTAGGCAATACTCACAGAATGCTTGTTATATTTGATACAGCTATGATTTTCAGTCTTTAGTATTCAGTTTCATACTTTCCTTTATTGGTCCTCAATCATTTTCCTGTACTGAACCTCATTCAGTTTTGGAGGGAAAGTTCTAGTCATTAGTTAATGAATGCCTGTTTTGGTCTCTGGTTGAATATTTTTCTACATTGAAATTCTTGGTTTAGCATTTTTAGTTGAAGTTTATTTATCTATCATCATTGTCACAACACATTCAGTAGACTAACATAGATACTTTTTTAACATGTTTAGCTCCTCTTTTATTTAAACAATGAAAATTATATAGGTTACCAGTATAGATAGTAAATTGATCACTATTGTCAATAGAAATTTGTAGATTTAATAAAAAATAATTTATTGAAATTATTTTACAGATGGTGAAATACCAAGAAATTTTCAAAAAGTTTTACTTAGGTAAACACAGTGGAAAGAAACTTCAGTGGCAGTCAACTCTGGGACATTGTGTTCTGAAAGCATGCTTCCCAGTAAGTCATTTGTGAAAATAACTAAATTTGAAAAAAAAAATATGTAAAAAGGATGATAAGCACAAAAATACTGGACAGCACAACAGACCATATCAACATTCAACATCTAGACTCACCTCAAAATGGTCCAGATAGCCTGACTTGGTATGACTTGGTACAGTCACAAAATGTGTTGGGGTTAAATAAGTTTTTATGTATACACAAACCTCATGCTTTGCATATCCAGAACAAGAGGATGTCTACTAACTTAAAATTAAATATGGCACATAAGAAGGAAAGCAGTGTTAATGTGTGCTCCTTACTACACTACAAAAATTGATTTTTGGCCTTTCTATTTCTGAACCCTACAAAAATCATTTTTTTTTTTTTTTATTTGATCCTGTTTGGGGTTCCAGACTTGCAAATATCATTTTCGTGCAGGGTTATCTGGACTGCTGTCAATCTGACAGCCTCTTGTTTTTAATTCATACTGAATGAAAGCAAGTGACCTCCACATTTTGCATAAAACACCTGCTGTAAATATGATTACTTTGTAGCTATAATGGATTTCATGTATGTTTAGTCCAGGAAGGAAAAAAAACCTTCATAAATGAAATGTGAAATTCAGCCATACTCAAGGTGTATAATAATGTATAAAGATAAATATTTCACAAGTAAATATTCTAACCAAATTTAAGAAAAGATACAGTAACTTTGCATGTTTTAATTCTCTGATAATTTTATTTGCTACTTGCTAAAAAATGTCAAAATAAATCAATGGAAATAGTATGTTGGAAGCCATAATCATAAAATATTGTTTTGTAAATGATGAGTTAACCACCAGTCATCAATTTTTTTCAGGGAGGAAAGAAGGAACTACAAGTGTCCCTATTCCAAACCTTATGTCTTCTTTTATTTAATGAGGGTGATGTTTTCACATTTAAAGAAATAAAACTGGCTACAGCAATAGGTAAGTCTTAGGAAAACAATACCCATCATTAATATAGAAGATAAATGGCTTCTTGTATGGATCCATGTTGAAGATTAGAAGATTTTTCTCCCTTTTGAAAAATTACATTAAGGTACAATAGATATGTCTAAAAGTTTCTTGGAAAGTATAGTTTAATATTGAAAATGTATAATTCATTTGAAAAAATAAGTGTCACCTTGTCTTATTTTTAGACATAGTTATAAATTACTTCATATTGTGAATTGTATATGAGAATCCATTCTTGGGCAAATAAAACTAAAACTCAGTTAACTAGAAAGTGACAAAAACTTTGGAACATTATTTAAATCAGTCATTTCCAGGAACGGAAAAGATGGGAAGCATTTTTGATACTTAGTATTTCACAAAGTAATATAAAAATTGGTTAATTTGCAGTCATGTCAGTTTAATTATCTCATATTGAATTGAACAAATTCAGGAAAAGTTATCTCTCATGGTAAAATATTGGATTTCATTTATTCTTAAAGGAGATATTTGTAGTATATATCATTAAAGATCAAAATTCCTCAATCGTGTGCATTTATATGAAAGCAAAAGTGAATTCTCATTTTTGTATCAGTTTTGAGAATTTTTAAAGAGAAAAAAAAAGTATTTTTAAGCAGGTGCATTTAAGTAAATACACCAAAACATTCCATTTGTAAAGCATTTTTTAAGGAACTTTAAGGCTTTAATAATAAATGTTGCAGTTTGAAAACTATATATGACGTTATCGTAATCCATATTGAGGATTACAATTTCGATTACTTTCTAGAAATGAAAGAAATTACATGGAATTAGATTAAAGTGATGTAGATAATTTCATTTCATCTTTTCTACCTGTCTTTTGTGTGTACACACAACACAGCTCAGTAAAGTGTACAGGTTTTAGATCTTTCAATAAAGAAAAATAACTTCAGTCACAATATTGTTAAATACGTTTCTTTAATTTATTGAAAATTGAAACAGTGAATGATTTTTAGTTCAAATGCAAATTGAAAGCATACTTCATACTTTGCACCTCCCTCAGTGCTCACCAGTACTTTGATAACATTTTTCTTCAGAACAATTAAAACACAAGTGTAAAATATTATGGATTGGGGATACTTTTCAAAATGCTGCTTTTCCCTGTGAAACACTTACTTATTTGATACATATATCTGATAAGATTTTTTTCATTTTCTTTTATCTGCAGAGGATGGTGAATTGAGACGGACTCTACAGTCTTTAGCATGTGGTAAAGCTAGAGTCATATCAAAAGAGCCTAAGGTATGATATGATTGATTTATATAATCATTTTGAATTATTTATAAAACATAAGCATGTTTTATGTGAACAACTGTCAAATTAATATTACAGAGTATGTACAAGATGGTGAGTCTGTCTTTATGACCCTGCTTATTTTGTACCTTCACAGTGCATAGTATTTTTACTTTTGTAGAATTCAAAACTGAAACTAAACCATTTCTTAAAGTGAATGTTTTAAATAGTTAAACAAATGTTAAGTAGCTTATTTAAAAAAAATTTAAATCTGTGGTTTGTGTTCCTTGAGCTATTTGTTTAAAAACAAACATTGATTTGATTATGGAAAAGTTACCGTAATCGGGCTTGTATAGTTCGCACTGGTGTATTGTCCCCACCCCCTTCTTGCCACGAAATTTCAGGTAAAAAAACTTTTTCTAACTGTTAGAAAATGTCTAATGAAACTCCGGTAATTTCAAATCGTGTGTGGTCGTTTGCGGTATTTTCATGGAAAAACCCGTTTTCCATCATCAAATAGAAGTTGAAACTGCTTGTAAATGATTCTAGACACTTCACGAGTGTTAAAATGTGTCAAAATCACACAAAAAACAATTTAGAAACTTGTGCTATTCAAACTTCCGGTTTAAACATACACGTGTAAAAGAAAATAAATACGGTGAGAGTGTACGGAAAATCCGTACTTAATAGATATCACTAGAATAGGACTTTGAAAGTAAAACAGTTCCATCCTTGTGTAAAACAATGTTTAATATATCTATCACATTAATGTTTGAAGGATCTTAAGTTAAAACAAAACACATGCGTCAGTATGAAACACCAAAACAGAACGAATAACCGATTACGTTTTGTAGTTTATACATCATAAGCTGGTTCTCGGTTGACTTATATACTTTTTTCGTTCCGTTCAATTCAAGCAGATTCCAGTTTTCAGTGAAAAGAAACGAGAAATTTGTAGTGAAGCATTTATTTTTTTAATCTATCAGTATATATTTGATATTGAATAAAAAAACATATAACTATGGATTAGGTAAAATTATTAGTTTTGAAAATGATAAGAGCGCCCTCTACAATATCAATAACAAACATGGCGGAATGTAAACAAACCACCTCGCGAAATCGATTTTTTCTCTTATTACCTGCTTATCGTAGTCTATAGTCCGCACCCTGTCTGGCAGGTTCAATTTTGGAGAATAAAACCGCGGACTATACAAGCCTTTTAAAAGTACATGGAATCGATATAAAAATTTATGTCTTGGATAACAGTTAACTCTTTGGAATAGAAAGATGTATATTTCCTGTAATCAATGATAAAGGATTTTTGTTTTCTATTTTTCTAGAGTAAAGATGTTGAAGATGATGACAAGTTTTTGTTTAATGATGGATTTAAGCACAAATTATGTAGAATCAAAATTAATCAGATTCAAATGAAAGAAACAGTAAGTAAAAGAATAGTTGATCTTTATATACCTCTCGTCTTTTATTCAGTCACTACAATGTTGTCAGAATTAGAATAAATGCAATATTCATTTTAATTTATGCTTTACACACAATTTTTATTTGGAAGGACCAAGACTCTACATTTTTGTTGTTCTATTGTAAAAATTGGCATCTTAGTAACTATTGAAATTGCATCCTCAATATCTCTTGTGTCAAAATTATCAATCTTCTAAAAATGTTTGCTATCCTCTTAACTCTTTATGTGACAATCTAGGTTATCTTCTTAGTATTCTCAGAAATAGTGAAATTAAAAATAAATACATTTTGAATAGTTATAGCATCTTGTACAAAGATGTTCATAAGTTTAAGGCTGTGGCTCAACCATTATGTGTAAAATGGTAATTTTTATGCCCCATCTAGGGGCATTATGTTTTTTGGTCTGTGCGTCCGTTTGTTTGTCCGTCTGTCCCGCTTCAGGTTAAAGTTTTTGGTCAAGGTAGTTTTTGATGAAGTTGAAGTCCAATCAACTTGAAACTTAGTACACATGTTCCCTATGATATGATCTTTCTAATTTTAATGCCAAATTAAGAGTTTTGACCCCAATTTAACAGTCCACTGAGCATAGTGCGAGTGGGCAGGTTAAAGTTTTTGTTCAAGGTAGTTTTTGATGAAGTTGAAGTCCAATCAACTTGAAACTTAGTACACATGTTCCCTATGATATGATCTTTTTAATTTTGATGCCAAATTAGAGTTTTGACCCCAATTTCACAGTCCACTGAGCATAGTGCGAGTGGGCAGGTTAAAGTTTTTGTTCAAGGTAGTTTTTGATGAAGTTGAAGTCCAATCAACTTGAAACTTATTACACATGTTCCCTATGATATGATCTTTTTAATTTTGATGCCAAATTAGAGTTTTGACCCCAATTTCACGGTCCACTAACTATAGAAAATGATAGTGCGAGTGGGGCATCCGTGTACTATGGACACATTTTTGTTTAAGTTAATATATATTGATTACACAACTGTTTTTTCTGCACTGAAGTATCTAGATTATATTATTTTATCCATTGATAAACATAACTTTAAAAATTTTACTATTTTTAGGGGTCAAATATCATACATACTCCTTTAGTATAAGATATTTAACCAATAAAGATTTCTTTAATAAATTCTAATACCAAAATGCTTAGGGGGCAAATATCTCTATTAAAAGTAGATTCATGTTGATAAATTTCATAAGAAAATTTGATTTATTTGATTTATTTTGAGAATGTTGTCTTAATATTGCCATGTATTGTTTTAATATCAAAAAAGGGTGTTTAGTTTGGTCCTTATGAAATTCATGACATACTTAAATTTCACGAAATCTTATTTGGTTATGATTTCACCCTTAAAATGAAACCCAACTAATGGCAGTTCTTTAAATGGGTATTGATATTATGCATGCCTGCTAAAATAGTTTAATTTTGAATAACTGAAAGATTTTATACTACCAAATACTGTTCATTTTGAACCATTCAGACTGTTAAGGATGTGAAGCACAAGTTACCAGTATTTCATTTAAAAAAAAATTGCCCTAGATTCAAACAATTTTTACTAAAGATGTCACAATTTTAATGGAAGATGGTTAAATATGAGATAGCTATGAAAGATTTATGCTTTAACTAATCAAATTTTAACCTTTATTGTCACTTCAGAAGATTAAACATTTCAAGAACATTTCTATTAATGTTACATTGCAGATATGACAAAATCAGGTATTGTGCAATATAACTGGCTGCATAGACACAAGGGATTCCACTGTATATAATTAAATTTACTGTCCAACAATTAAGGGGTGACATGACTTGACACTTTTGAAGTACGCATTTCTTATTTGTTCTTTTAATATTTTACAGCCAGAAGAAAACACCAGTACAACAGAACGTGTATTCCAGGACAGACAGTATCAAGTTGACGCAGCTATTGTCCGTATCATGAAAACACGCAAAACACTTAGTCATAATTTACTTATCTCAGAACTCTACAAACAACTCAAATTCCCTGTCAAGGTAATGTTAATTATTACACTTAGTCATAACTTACTTATCTCAGAACTCTACAAACAACTCAAATTCCCTGTCATGGTAATGTTGATTATTACACTTAGTCATAACTTACTTATCTCAGAACTCTACAAACATCTCAAATTCCCTGTCGAGGTAATGTTGATTATTACACTTAGTCATAACTTACTTATCTCAGAACTCTACAAACATCTCAAATTCCCTGTCAAGGTAATGTTAATCATTACAATTAATCAAGGTGATGGGGAAAAAAATGTGCCGTGTTTTCTTTAGTTAATTTTACTATAATCTGCTGTCGATTTTGTAGATTCCATTTTTACCTGACAAAGTTTTCATTTTATTATTGACATCTAAATACCTGTACATATTTAAGAATTATAAACGAAAGTGAACCAACACCTAGTGAATCTGTAGTAGGGTAGAAGTGGATTCAAAAGTTACTAGTTTAGAAAAAAAGTCCATTCAATCTTGACAACATAGTTTATTTTATTTTACAGCCTACAGATCTGAAGAAAAGAATAGAAAGTTTAATAGATAGAGACTATATGGAAAGAGACAAAGAAGATTCTAATCAGTATCACTATGTTGCTTGATTTAATGTAAAAGTAGGAAGAGAAGAAAACTCCCAACTAATTGTGATTATTTGATGACAAAGTCAGATCAGTGCTATCATCTGACTGTGTCATAAAAACTTTATATTTGTATATTTCAGCACAGATTTGTGTTGAATTCTTATATTTACATCAGTGCTGTTTTGACTTCTTGAATATTTTTAATGCAGGAATTTGAAGCTGATTAGTTAGCTTGAGTTGACTTTGGATTCCTGGATATTTTCACTCTATTTGTACACCAGTTTTCATGTTTAAATTAACTATGTATGATGATGTAAAATATGTGATAATTTTCATTATGTCTTTGTTGTTATTTTTATCACCTTTAACCTCTCCCTTCCCACTGCCAAGTGGTAGGATATAGAAATATACAATTAAATGAAAACATACAGACAGTATTTACATGAATAACAATTTTATTTTGTTTTACCGATACTCTAAATGAGAGATTTTTAACTTTTTGATAAATAAATTGTAAGAAAAAACAAATGTTTGTAATAGTGTTGCTTTTTTTTTCCGGTGATGTCATTGTGAAAATTTTCAAAAATTTGCTGTACAATGTAAATAATAAAAAAAACAAGTATTAAATGGGCATTCATTAGCTGTCAAATTCATGTTTACTGATTTGACTCAAATTCTCATATTTGATTTATAACATACTTAATCGTATATCCAAATTACAAAAAGTCTAAAATAAACAACTAACAATGCATGGACTCGATAATATATATCAACATTCTGTGTGTATTTTTGTCTAGACACCATCTAATTAACCATCGAGATGACCTCCAAAGACTACAGACGGTCATTTCACCCGATGTAAACATACATATAAATATAAACAGATAGTGACCACGTGCAATTGGACTTTTCTTAGTCTGTTTGATTTCATATTGTAGGTTAAAAAGTATGTTGATCATTGTTTTTACCTGTATAAGAAAGATTTTTTGTGGATAGAATCAGTCAACTAAATGGTCCATCCTTGTTTCACTTTCAGTGTTGACATTCTTTTCCTTTTAATAGCTGAATACATGCGTAACCCATCTCCAGCTAAGGGTTTAAATTGAAGGTCACATGAATACGGCGTCATTGAGGTCGAATTATTCTTTTGCAAGTGAATAATTCATCTGCGATGTTTATTAGCTTATTTTGACAAAATTGAATCAAATTGACTGCTGAAAGAGAATTAATATTTCATTATTTCACTTTCATTAATGATTGAACAAAATAAAATCATATTTTATTTTTTTCTATATCTCATAGCTAATGCCCCTTTAAGAATCTGTGCTTATGCTATTTATCTGTTTTTAAAAACCAGCTAAGGACAAATTCCTTGTTAAGATTTTAATTTAAAAATCAAGCAATCGAGCCAACAATTTATTTATAGTTAGTCTTGGCAGCCTAGATTCAGTGATGCATAAAGGCTGAAAACATAAGTAAAACAAGGACAACAAAATGATGAAAAAAAACTCAAGGTATATTCCATAAATATAATGATAGAAAAGAAATGATAAGTGATCTGTCTCCTTCTAGATCTGGCAAAGACAAAGGGGATTATAGTTTTGTTCTTTATCTGTCTGCCTTAGAAATTTCTTCATTTACTTCTGTATTAAAATAATTTTATCTTGATTTGGGTATAAGGCTAGTCCTCGTTAGCTTTTGCCAAAACTTGTTGTACATTGACATTGGAAAGGTACTTTAATATGCTTTTGATAACTTTAAATTCCGATATTATTGTGAAAATTGCAATTTGATATATTTCGCAAAATAAAAAATTTCCATAACATTTTTTATAAGCAACATTTTATGAAATTGCAATAATTAATCTCTAATTTGTATCCTTTTTCCGACAATTGCAATAATAGATACATGAAACAATTTCTGAAATAACACTGTTCATTTTATCCATCATTTTTATCCTGATAACCAGAATAAAAGGTATACAGGAGAATGTACAGAAAATATCACTCCAGAAAAAGCATTGAATTCTGTAACATCTATATTACAGATAACATTAACACAGGTACTAGATAAACTGTTATCAAAGAATTTTCGCAGGTTGAAGTTCATAATCTGCTGATCTTGAAGTTATCCTTCTAATACTACTGTTGATTGCCACCTTAGAGTGAATGTGATACTGGCAAGTTATGAACAGTGAAGAAAAATATGATCTTGTGTAATGCCCTTATTAAGTTTTTGCACAGCATTCCAATAAAGCAAAGAAGATGGTACAGTGGATATATCAGCATAAAAATCCAGCTTCAAGGTTTAAAAAGAGCAACATCAAAGATTTGAAATTGGGTGTGGCAAGATAGAAAACTTAGTTTATGTGGAACAATTTCATGTCTTAATTTGGATGAAAAAAAAATCTTGCTGCAACAATTGGGCAAACTATTTGATAAAAGCTTCATATTTCAGAGGATAGAAGACCTAGATGCTTCATACCTTGTATATGGTGTGTTCTGTTAAGTTTCTGTCTGTCCATTGTCCTAGACCTTATTTTCATGGTTTCAATCAGTACAAGGTGTACAGGTCTGTCCGACATGGTTCATCTGGCCTTGACCTCACTATCATGTGAGCATTATGTTTTCATTGTTAATTCTATAGTGTTATCATAGTGTCAGCTACTATAAGGTTATAATAGGTTAACTATATGTGGTGTATTGAATGATTACAATCACAATTACAATGTATACAGGTCTGTCTGTCAGATTTCATCTGACCATGTAATCATAACATCTTTCATTGGTCTGTTCCGTTTTTGCGTTTTACCCAGTTTCTCAGATACTATAAGCAATAGGTCAACTATATTTGGTGTATGAATGGTTGTTAGATATACAAGTCTGTCTGACCGGGTTCATCTGACCTCGACCTCATCATGGTTCAAAAGTCAGCACTGGTTTCATGGTAAAGCCCGTTTCTCAGATACCATAAGCAATAGGTTAACTATATGTGATGTATTGAATTATTGAAAGGTACATGTCTCTCTGGTAGATTTCATTTGACTTTGACCTAATTTTTATTGTCTACTGGTCATGACCGTCTGACGGGGTTCATCTAACCTTTATGTCATTTACACGGATCATTGATAAAATTTCATGTAAGAATTCATGTTTAACATTTTTCTCCCAAGATTTTTAACGTAAATTCAATCATGATCAGTTCAGCAGGCGAGACTTGTTTATACAGACAGGTGCGACATCCAGAGACAGCAGCAGCATGAACCAACTTTCAAACATAACAATAATTGCAGAAGACGACTGATGTATCGTTATTTTTTATGCATCATGTCCTGAAACTCCCATTCAGGCAAGAAGCAAAATAAGTTTTAGGATTTTACACCATGAAATGCTCAGCAGATGAATGTGTTTTGAATTTATCCAAGCCAAAGGGGGAAGATCTCGGGTCATTGCTTTCTACATTTTTGCAAGGAAGACCTACACAAAGGTTCAGCACTATTATATGAAGGAGACTGTCCTATGCGATTTTTTGTTTCATATATGTATCATATAAGGGATTTATAATTTTCAAATAATTTAATATTTATTTTCAACTTATCCCCAATCAAAAAATGATAGGTCATGTTATGTTCATAGGTGGCACTATATTTTCATTTCCCAAATTCGAGAATAGTTGGCATAATCATCATATTTTCAAACGGTTCATCCAATTCTAGGGCGTTTGAAAACGAAAGAATAGTTGTCTGAAGAACATATTTCTACGAAGTAAGTTTTCTGCGATAATGAATGAGGTCATCGATGACCTCGGGTCAATTCTTACCGGACGTATTTAGACGTGCAAATGAAGGCTGCGCCACTGGACACTATATCTACGTTTTACCATAATAAATATGTTTAAATTATAGTAACCATTGCAAGCAAATTCAAAGCTCTAACAACCAAAAAGGGATCAAGAAATATGTTTTGATAATGTATAAATTATGACCAGCATTTATTTTTACGGACAAGCACATTTGAAAAATCTTAAATAACCATAACTAGAACGGGGTCGAGAAATAGGGCACTCATTATAACATACTTTCAAAACGACACAGGTAATATTTGTTTTAGTTTTAACTTATCAACTATACACGGATCTATGTACAATCACGTGTAGTCCGTGTGTGTAGTAAGACAGATATTTCCTTACACAGTGCACAATATGGGTAGGTAATACTTTATTATATGCAACTTTTAATTCATGCATATCTTACATTTTGCAGAACTGAAAATAGATAAAATCATAATGCCCATAGTTCGGATATGCCAAATATGTCACGTACTCTTTGTTGGTGTTTTATTGAATGAAGCTGCATAAAGAGTGACTTATTGTATGATGGTTTATAGGGACCCTTCTGCATGTTCTGGATGTGCCGTTTGGTGTTATTCCTCACAGTTGAAGAGACTGTTTTGGTTTTTCTTGCAATTGATCAGCGTTTAGATACCATATTAGCTGTTCATTTTCCGTTTTATTAACTAGAATTTCCTTTCCGTTGTCTCGTAAACATCAAATCTATATTGCATCCGAATTAACCCGTTTTTCGCCTTGCATTGGAAAACACTGAAAAAATAATTCCTTGCGTAATCTTGCATCCACCATATGTATGTCGTTATTTGACCCTCTTAGAAGCAAACGTTCTAATGTGTCCATACATATGTAATTTTATCGATCGCCTAGATGTCAAGGTTTTCTTAGAGGATAGTTGGGGGACTTGTTGCATCAAAGAGTGTGGCGTTATTTTAGCATACGACAAAGTATCGTCACCGATCAGCGCTTGAGAGTACAGAAGCTCTGTGCACTTCGAAAAATCATATTGTGTCATTTAAATTACATTAAAATGGACAACGTGGGAACTTTACAAAAGGCTTAACTTTCTTCTCCCAACATTTCCGTCTCTCTAATCTTTTAACAGTACGAATACTCTTTTCTTCATATTTATGAGTGGTATATTTTAAAACATGTTAATGCATATCATATGCCTGTAATTTGACCCTCAAATTATATTTTATAACATAGAAGGAAAGGTACTAGAAACGATAAAATTAACAGTGAAACAGCGAACGACAGGTTATTTTAAAGTCGAGAAATTCCTTACAACTTTCTTTTGCTACAGCTATTATACGAGGCTCTTTCCTTTTTCTTCACGAAAACTACGAAAGAGCCGAATCATGGAAAAAGTAGGGAACCCTTTTTATACTAGTATGACGGCGTTTTATTTAACTCCTAGAGTAAAAACTCTCCACAACCATTCTGGAACAATATAAAAGTAAGGAGTGTGGTATGATTGCCAATGAGACAACTATTAACCAGGGTCCAAAATGACGTTAAGGTCACCGTATGACCTTTAACAATGAGCAACATCCACACCGTATAGTCATAAAGTAAGTTGTAAAATGGTCCGACACAATCTAATTAAAACAAGTTTTCCCTAGATGGTCAAACAACCTCATTGGAACTCCGCATTTGCTCCTGATTTTCGTTTGGTTGTTTATATTTCTAGCGTTGGACAAATAAACAACCGAACGAAAATGAGTAAAAAGTGCGGAGAACTAATTTTAATTAGATTGGCCCCGACATGACAAAATGTGAATCAATTCAAACAAGAAAACCATATGTATGACAAAATAATTAACAACAACCACAGAGTTACAGGATCCTGACTTGGGACATGCACATAAAGGATGTGGTGGGGTTAAATATGTTTGTTAGTGCTCAATCCTCCTAATCTGAGACAGTGGGGTGACTGCACTCAATTTATCCTACTGAATGCTTATTGGCATGTTATTTCCGGTTGTCAATATTACAGAAATATTCGTTGGGACAAGAAAATGTGTGGTGTGGTCGATACATCACATTTTCAAACAAGGATAGGAAAGGGTAGGACAATCAAGTCGTAACATCGGTCACATGTAGTCTTCGTGAAATATTTACCACAAACTTATTAGGGCCCCACCGAATGGCGGACGCCCTATGGTGATTAGTCTGTCCGTCCGTCCGTAACAAATTGTGTCCGCTCTATATCTAGAGAACCGTTATGATTTCAAAGTTTATACTTGACATGTATATAAACCAACACCAGAGGATGTGTTATAATTTATGTACAACTTCCTAGGTCAAAGGTCAAGGTCAAAAATTATGGTTTCAGTTGACAACCCCATGTCCTATGGTAAAGATACCAATTTTTTACCACACGTTATTCACAGCGGGACCCACAGAGATGGCTCTCATCTCAATGATATCTAGTTGTGTTAGCTTTTATTACGGATTTAATATCATTCTACTTCAGTTTGCTTTTGAATGTTCATTTTTTACGTTATATCAAAACATTGCTATTCGTTTAAAACTCATTTACCAATTTACAGCAAAATAATAGATGTAAAGCGATTGACATTAGAGTACATGACAACATTTTTTCCCACTAATGCAGTAGATACAGTTTCAGTAACTGCGAGCATTCTTTAAAACGCTATTAGGATTTTTCTTTTTTTTTTTGTTGTTTTTCGTGAAGATGTGTGTTCCGGAATTATTGAACTTAGAGATTTTTCTGGATTATTTTCATTGTGCATTTTTCTGTGTGCCCTTTTGTTATTACACAGATCTGGATGAAAAAGGAAATCGTTGAGTACTCACTAGTTCTATCAATGTCCATGCTTATATGCACTTATTAAGTTAGGGTCATGTTGATGGTTGACTTGTCTTTGTTTATATTTAAGTTTTCCGTTTAACTTGTGTTATCATAGCGTCTTCATAAAATGCCTGAGATTTTCTACTTGGTATATTTTACTCACAGGTAAACGAAGGATCGTAGGTAATCACTGGAAGTAATCAATGAAGCCATATTTCTAAACTCTAGCAACTATAGACCTTATCGCTATTTGGAAATCTGCGCCGCTTGACCCGAGAATCTGCGCCTCTTGAACCATATATTTGACGTCATACAACAATCACTTTTCCAATGTGGCGTCAGATATTTTCCATAATGATGTCAACATTTTACGGGAACCTTTGTGCGGACAAATAGCGATAAGGTGTATTGACGTAATTGAATAAGTAGGGCATCAATGTAATTTATTTTGTTTTGTGATATTTTTTGAAATGTCTATATCGGACTTTTCATCACAAGATTAGCACGTCAAAAAATACTGTGACCTTGAAATCTAGTATATGCTAACGTTATATAAAGATCTTGACTGTTCTTATAATTTTTTTTGTTAAAAGTAGACAATCGTATTTATTGCACTGAAACCCAATTTCTTTTATCATTCATTTATTACACGTTGTGATGAATAAATATTGGAAATCTGAATAAGTGTAGTGAGGCCACACTCAAAAATATTTTGGTTTGCCCAAACCCTACCCAAAGGTAGAGACACTGGGAAGGTAGGTTGGCAGTTTTGAATTGAAGTGTCAGATGTTTTTACTCTTCATGCTTATCTGCTTGACGTTAAAAATTTTCACATCAGGACGATAAAACATTTTGAGTAGGCAGCTATTTTCTGGGTAGGTAGGGTAAGGGCAAACAAACATATTCTTTTTTATTGTCTGAGCTAGTTCTATTTAGACTGGGTTTGATTACAAACGTTTCCTTGATCCTGGTCACCGTTTCACAAAAGGTCGTAGATCGTGAAATAGGTCGTACGACCATGTTGACGATATGCGACCGTTTCACAAATATTTACGATTTACGATTTACTATAAATATTGGTCGCAAATTCCCGACTGGGTATAAGCAGTCGTAAATCGGAAAGTTTGCCAATAGCGGGGAAATATGTGTCATGTCATGTAACAATGGCTGCATTTTTACTTTAGCTTTACGCGAACATCTAAAAGAAAAATTACTTCAAGAGATAAAGGAATCATTACACCGCGAGTTTTTGAGATGTAAAATTTTACAGTAAATTGTTAATTGAATAAATTGATGAACGTACAGAGGGTTACGATAATGGAATTCGTAGACTTGCGAGATGTTCAATTGTCAGTCTAACATTAAGAAGTCATGCAATTCCAGCCCTTCTGCGGTTGTTACATCCTTTTATTTTTGAATAATTTGAGCTCCTACCATTCTGTCCCAACAAACAATTTATCTCCCTTGAAAGACTTTAAGTGGTTGTCGTTTGTTTATGTGTTACATATTTCTTTTTCGTTAATTTTTTGTACATAAATTAGGCCGCTAGTTTTCTTGTTTGAATTGTTTTACTTTGTCATTTCGGGGCCTTTTATAGCTGACTGTGCTGTATGGGCTTTGCTCATTGTTGAAGGCCGTACGGTGACCTATAGTTGTTACTAGTAATTTCTGTGTCATTTGGTCTCTTGTGGAGAGTTTTCTCATTAGCAATCATACGACATCTTCTTTTTTATATTCAAAAATAAGAAACAAAACGATAAACGGTCATGTATTATGAAACGTGTTATTCATCTCACGATTGAATATTTGTTGAAAGTCTTTACTCTTTTTAAAATACATGGATTGTACTCCTTATAACAAATGCTCAGTAGTGCCGGAGAAAGGTCCAGACAATGAAATTTGAACATTGATATTTGAACAAATTAAGTTTAAAATGCACAGAGATAAGAATGTAGAGATGTGGGTGATACGTCAAAGATACAACAATCATCAAAACTAAAAAAAAAAAAAATCTCCTGTATTTGTTTATCCCACGAGGTCAACATCTGAAAATCGTTAAATTGGAATATTTTGTATATACATTTTTCAACATTTTTCATATGTCTTGAAGACTTTAGAAACAAAATTGCGAAGAGGTAAGGACAACAATTTCCACTGAATTTATTTCACATCATGGCAATCTTGTTACAAAAAGTCTTCTTCGATCTTTTTTTTTTTTGGCTCATCCCGACAGTGCAGATTAAAGGATATACTCCACGGCTCCTGTGTAAGTTTTCTTGTTTAGTAAATAAAGGGGAAAATACGCTTAAAAAGTTTCGTTGTAAAAGGTTGTAGCTTTTAAAATGTTACTAGTGACTTTTTTTTTTATATTTCAGGCTTTCTCTTAGATTGTTACATTATTTGGAGAATTGCATTTAATGCCGATCTTTAATTGTTTCTATTAAATTTATTCACAATTTTTATATAAATTCGTGACGATTTAGAACTTGTCTAATGTTGAATACTATATGTTGCCCTCTAAGTGTGCTTATGTGGTTTCTTCTTGTTTGATTGCTGTCTTATTGACGTTTAACCCCTATGGTATCGACTCCGTTCGGTCCCATAACACGTTGTCCCTAGGTTCGTTCGCATCCAATTTTTATGTCGGTATTGCCCGGTCAGTGGCGGATTCAGGGGGGGTGCAAACTAGGCAACGTTATGCGGGGCCATGTAAAAAGTCTATGAATTAACCATACGTGTAGCTTCATAATGGGGGCCCAGGCCCCTTGTCCCCTTGCAAATCTGCCTCTGCTTCAAATCATCACTTTTATAAGCATTGTAAAGTTTAAATCTCAACCAACTTTCGTTATCCAGTATGACGCAGACCTGAGCTTTTTTGTGGCGAAGTCCTTTATTGCAAGTTCAATGAAAAAGATGCAACTAACTAGGTAAGCCAGATAATATCAAAGAGAAATGTTTAAACAATCGTAAACATTACAAACAAAGCATTTTTATTACTTTAATTTGTGTTTAAAAAAAGTGAATCATAATATAATTTATCAAAGTTTCAAAATGTTTGCTTTCTAAACTTTTTCCTCACTTAGCTCGTTACTGATGACCTTTGTTTTTGCAACACTTGACCCAAACAAGAAGTTGTCTAAGTGACTGTTTTTTTTCCGGATTGGTCTAAAGGTAGCGATAAGGTACGTGTATTGTCCCTCCGGTTGAGTCAACCTTATAAATCAAAGCGACAAATAGTTTTAATAATTAAATTATTTTTCTTTTCAAGTAAAAAATACTCAGAATATGTAAAAGTTCGGAACAAAATACCGGGCCGGTTGCAGAAGACTTTGAGAAAAAGACCATCGCCGAAAACAACTGAGCGTTTTGTTTAGATTTTTATAATGAGTAAACATGTAAAGTAAACAATTTTTGCAAGTTAGTTTGTCCCAGTCCCAGATTTCTTTTGGAAACAAATAAAAAAAGTGGAGAAATGTTACAAATCTATGAAATGCAGTAGATGTAAATACCTTTTTAACACCTTTCAGTAGGTTGTCGGAATCAGGACAACTGACCAAAGACAAATCGGACCAAGACATCTCGGACAATTTTAAGAAAACTCGGACCACTTTCAAAGACAACTCTGACCAGTTTGAAACACTGTTCAGACCAGTGTTTTGTCTAGATTTGACTGAAGTTGTTTTATACGTATACATATATAACATTAAAATTAAATCGAACATTTGAAAGTATAGACCCCTTGATAATTTTGTTTAAATATTCTTAAGATTCTTATGTTATCTTTTAAAGTACACGTATGTCTGTAAACCCAATATTAGATTTAATGCATGTCAAAACATTAAGCGATGAACATTTACATTTTTCTTTAGAAATAAAGTAGTTATTACTATATATATATAAAAATATTAATTTTCGCGAACCATTTAGGTCACGGAAATTCCATTTTTTGCCATCAGTAAGGAGAGTTGTACAAATAATGTGAATACACAGAACCCCGATCCAATTCATCTTTTGCTAAAAATATTTATCATTTTCTGTTTTATATCTCCTAACATCATTTCATTTTTCTCTAATTTCGATTAAAATATGCCAAAACCTGCAGTAAAAATAGATGTATGCCCCAAATAAACATTCCCCGATTGGTTGAACTACTATGGCGTCGATGTAAAGCAATGCAAGCCTCGATGTAAAGCAACGCAAGCCTCGATGTAAAGCACACGCTTCCCAAGAGTAAGGAGAGTTGTACAAATAATGTGAATTCACAGACCCCCGATCCAATTTATCTTTTGCTAAAAGTGTTCATCATTTTCTGTTTTGTATCTACCAACAACATTCCATTTTTCTATAATCCCGATTTAAACATGTCGAAACCTGCAGTAAAAATAGATGTATGCCCCAAGTAAACATTCCCCGATTGGTTGAATAACTGTGGCCTCGATCAAGCACACGCAAAAATTTCCGTTGATATGTTGAACTTCGACCCCGGGATTCAGCCGAGGTAACCTTCAGCCGATTCACATAGAGATTTTCTTGCGCTCAAATGTAATTCTAAGTGAAGTATACTGGTAAAGTAAAATTATATTCTTTTACAGAAATATTTACACATTTTATCATTAATGTATTGTCATGCTTCTGCATATTTACGCTGAGCTTTAGTTAAATATAATTCTATACAAATTTTGTTACGTCAAGCATTAAGAGTAAGAATATATTTCGCGCCAAAACAAGAAAATAATCTGTGTCACAAAATAAGTTTATCAGCATCTTTCTGAAATTATCCAACAGAAAATAGCGTTAATTATAGAGAAACTTTGGTGAGTATTACTTATTAATGTTAAGGTTCTCCAGAGGTGGTTCTCTACATCTTCTTGGTGGTCAATTTAATGGGCTATTCCAGAAATAAACCATACCCCCCTATGGAAGACATCAGTTGTGAAAAAAAAAATCCATGGAAATATTTTTCACCATTGCCAGAATTTTCTGGAATTCCAGCATTTGAAATTATAATACTACTTAAAAATCCTGGAATTTTTTTCATGATGCTGTCAATATGTCAGGAAATTTGTATTTTATAAAAAAATATATTACATCATTCTCGATTTTAATCCTTTTTCAATTTAACATTTTGCACGCCAAACGAGTGTTTCGTTTACAAAGTAGTCATCAGTGACGCTCGAATGAACAAGGATATCAACTGGATCCGATACTACAGTTCTTCTCTACTTTTTATATTTAAACCATATTCTTTTCGGAGTCCTATATAAACGTTTCTAGGATTATTAGGTGAAAATGTTTCCAACGTTGTTAATACACTTAACCGTTCTCTTTCAAACTTGTTACTTAACATTGCTTGTTCATAAAAATCAACCGTTTCCTTTGCAGCCTGTTCGAACGAAAGACGTGGGCTTAAAACCAAGTTTATGCTTTGCTTTTTCACAGCATATTGGACCTCTTGTAACGGACGGAAATAAGTGAACAACATCTTCATTGTCAGACACTTGAATATCAATATCTTGCTTTTCCATATATTTTTTCATCATTTCAAGAACTTCTGGCAGCGTTGGCGTCTCATCAAAAGCAAAGTTGTATGCTTCGTCTAAAAGGTCTTTGTCATAATTCAAACTTTGTGATACAATTTTTGCAACGTCTTCAACATAAACGAAGCTCATCGGAAAGTTAACAAGATTTTTCGGAATAGATATTTCTGTCTCTAAGTATGGTGATAATCGCAACCAAGCCTGGTATATCCACCAACGGTACGTGTTATCACGTGATCCAATAACATCACGCAATCTGATGAAGAAGTATGGCATCCCACCTTGCTTTCTCTGTTCTACCAAAACCTCTTCCCCTGAAAATTTCCGATGTCCGTAATCATCTTTCTTGTTCAAAATCTCCTGCTCTGGTATATCACCCGGTCGTACAGAATCGGTCTCTACCGTTGGCCGAGTATGGTTTTTCGTGCAGACCTCGTATACAGAGTCAGAACTGATGTAGATATAACGCCCTACTCGTCCTGCAATTAAAAAAATCATATTTGTGCACGCCAAAGACACGTATTTAATAGCTATTTTTTTGTCAAATGCTTTGCATATGGCAACATTTTCTGCATTTAGTTGGTTTGCATGTATTAAAAGGGGGGTTCCTTTTTGTTTGACAACTAATGCTTTTGTAACGGGACTTAAGGTTGGACCCCCCCCCCCCCCCCCTACCTTTTAAAATGGCTGGATCCGCGCCTGAAGTTTGAAGGTTTATTGCAATTATCATAAATTTTGTTATCCATGTTTTTAATTGACTTTGATACGAGTCTTTATAACTAATATAGATATATAGATTAAAGGATAAATGTGCCATGTACATAACAAACTAAGATCTCGATGCAAGTTACCGGCGGAATTAGTCAGTGTTGCACCTCATCCTTTTATTATTTTTTTTTTATTTATTGAAATTCACTGGATATATTTATTACATTGGTTGCAATAAATTACCTTGCCTGATTTCTCAGTGAAATGAAAACCGATAATTTCACATGTGAAATGATACATTATAAAAAAGATAAAATTGAGAACAGAAATGGGGAATGTGTTTATTATATGACCTAAAATAGTATTGAGGTTCTTTTCATCCGAACAGAACCTCCGTAAAAATATGAAGTCGACTTACCTTGCAGAAGTTTCAATGTATCCTTGATCATATACGGATCAAAACCACTGAAATCTACAATTGCATCATAAAAATCATACTGTTCTGCACTCCAGCAATCCATTAAACTTTTCATTCGATCACATTTCAAATGCTTTATCCGTGGCTTGATAGTATCGTCAGTGTCCCAGTACCAGTTTCCTCTGGTAACCAAAGTCAAATCGTGTCCATTTTCTAGCATTTTATTTACGCTGGCTGCACCAATAAGACCATTTCCACCAAACAGCAGCACCTTTTTAACACCACCCGCGTTAGTCCAAAGAACAAGAGAGAAGAGTATTATAAATGATATCAATAAGCCCATGATTTCTAACTGAACAATACTTTCGTGTCTCCACTTTTAAAAACAAGATAAATAAAGTAAATGGCCTTGATGTTCAGTAGTTGTTGTTTGTTGATGTGGTTCATAAATGTTTCCCGTTTCCCGTTTTTTATATAGATTTTCCTGTTTGAATGGTTTTACAGTTAGTAATTTTTGGGGCCATTTATTATAGCTTGCTGTGCGGTGTGAGCCAAGGCTCTGTGTTGAAGACCGTACTTTGACCTATAATGGTTTACTTTTATAAATTGTGAAGTGGATGGAGAGTTGTCTTATTGGCACTCATACGTACCATATCTTCTTATATCTATTAAGAGATAGAATGTGTTGAGATTTTTCAATTTTAATATAAAACATGATCATATTACAGGTGTAAATGATAACATTAATATTTGCATTGATCCCTGGTTTGCAGTAATACTAGATTACAAGGATCATCACCATCTTAAGGGACAACCAATTGATTTTCTTGGGTGGGAAAAAAGGGGGGGTAGGAGGATTTTGAAAATGAATATCCCAGTCTGGAAGGACCTGATAAAATATTGCCCAAAACCGGATAAAAATGAATTATCTGCAACACAAAAATGAAGGAATTTTTTTATGTGTACAAAACTTTTTGTATGTTGATTTGTACCAAAGTCAAGTCGAAAAAAAAAACCAACTTGCATAGCATTAGATTAAACTGCAAAAAAATCATCCTGTCCACCACTGTCATATCCCATGCAGTATCTTTTCTGTGTCTTGTATATATAATATTGGTAAGAGATTGGCAAATGATAGGGTTTCCATTTCATAAAAATGTTTAAAGTTTGAATGTTTTCTGTAACTTAATCAGTAAAACCAGTATCATGAGTATGTCTATTCCTTATCGAGACAAAAGACTGACCTTTCGTATGGGAGGTCTGGGCATGGAAATGAAGGAACGGGCAGCGGGAGAAGAAAAGGGGGGTAAAAATGGGATATGTTGGAAAAAATATTCTGTCCGATTTTCGTCTGGGAGCAAGGGAAGGGAAGAGGGACTTGGGTTATGGAGAAGTGGGAATAAAGGACCCCCTAAACCCCCCTCCTATGGCCTTTTCAGCTACCGGTTTAGTGTGTCGTCTGCTTGAAATCTACGAAAGTTACCCGGGATTGTTTTACCAGATGATTAAAGCAGCAATAAAAAGGAGACATAACACATATTTACCCGTGAGGCTATCATTTCAACCTTTTCTCGTACAACCAGCACGTCCTACTTTTATTAACTGTACAATCGAGAATCCAAAAATCGTTTATTTACGAACTGACAGGTGCGTGTTGACTCCATTTTCAGACCTTCACATAAAAGAGCTTTGGGACAGAGGTCGGTAATCGGATGTCGGTGCGGAGAGATTCCGAAACGTTTGTGAAACACTCGTTAACTTGGTCGGTAAATTATTCTACGACCAGTCGTAAATCGTACGATTTACGATCTTTTGTGAAACGATAACCTGGCTTCAGAACTTACATATGACGACGTTATCTGAAAAATAAGATTGCCTTGTAAACCATAACGTGTAAACATATGACTGTTTTGGTGATTCTGTTTATTCCCATGTTGTTATAATGCTCACACGTGATGTATATATTTGGCTTTTTAAAATTTAGGTATCGATCGTACTTTATGAAATTTTTTCCCAGAAACATATATCGCGCTCTGAAATCGGTATCATGAATGCGCTTATCAAAACTACCACTGATAGATTGTTATTCCCAAGGGTACCTTCCGCCAAGTAACTATAGTGCTTCGTTAATTGAATGACTTGAATGATACATTTTTACTATTCACATTAATTTTTGGAAATCTGTTTAAATTTTGACTAAGTTATTGTAAATTAAAGTTTGCGAATCTCGTGATTTTACTAGTCTTAAAAAAGTTAACACAATATTTCATTACCACGACAAAATTGTTAAAGAAACTGTTCTTAAGCGTTAAACAGTCTTACAATAAGCTTGTGTGAAAATGCTCAGTCTATAACTGAATGTGTTCAAAGATTGTTGATTGTTGTTTGCTTAGCGTCCAGTGGCAAGTATTCAGGGCATATCCAGGACGAGAAAAAAAATTAATTATAAATCCAATATGTGAGTTATCAAACTGGTTCGACAAGAATGAAGGATTTGAAATAACAACGGTCACTGGAGTGTGTTAGCTGAAAAGGGAAATTGATGTAAAAATAAAGAGATGTGGTATGATAGCCAATGAGGCAACAAACCACCATGCAGAATCCAAATGCCTCGCAAGTGGATTTACCGTACGACCTTTAACAATGAGCAAAACACATACCGTATAGTCAACTATAAATAACCCCGAAATAACAAAGTGTGAAACAAATCTAACGAGAAAAACCAAGGGTCCGAATTATGACAAACAATAAACAAATATGAAAGACAGCAACCAACGACCAGCACTGAAATAAAGGCTTTAAATTATCGTTGAACTTTGCTTGATTGTCAGGTGGACTATGAAATTAAAGGTTTCATAACTAGTGAGAATTGGTTATCTATCGCTTGATATCAGCTCGAGTTATTTAATTCATTGAAAAGCCTGTTTAATCAGTGTTCTTTTATTCACAATATGCCAGCTTATAAAGAAGTTATTGTTAAGCAAACATAAATGTACTGGATACGCACTTTAATTGTCCAGCTCGTAATACTTTTTACAGAAGTTAATCTGTTGAAAACATTTATCTTATGTAACAACTAGGATTGCCTGTTTTCCTACCGACGCTCGCTGGTTCTCACCGGGTACTCCGGATTCCTAAACCAATGAAATATGGCCTCCACGATATTACCAAGAGTGCTAAAAGTGGCGTTAAACACCACCAATCAATCAAACAAATGTTACAGTATGTACACCTAGGTATTGAAACTTACGTTGTTATTTATCATTGGTGTGCAATGTTTAATAAATACATCGTACATGTATTGTAAAAACTAATAAAATATATGTGGATGAATTATATAGTTATTACATCCTTTTCCCTAAGTGTTTGTAAACCGTTTTAAAGAACCAGTTTAAAATACACTAACCAAATACAAAAAAGTAAACACTTACTTCAATTTTATTAATTTGCATTCAGTAATATTTCAAATGCATATGTTTGCCAGTCATTATAAAAGTCAATTCAAAACATAGATATTTATACATGTAAATGATTTTCTCTTTAAATTAAAGAAAAGCTGACAGAATTTAAAGTATTTTTACATGCTTGTACATACACATGTATGATAATACAATAAAACACAAATAGCTGTAGCCATGTTTTTTTTTTAATTTAATACGAAGGCCACTATCACTCCTATATAATTATACAATTATCTATTTTATTGTTTGTATTTAATGCCCTAGCCCTTTAATGTAAATGTGTTTGTGCAAATAAATATGTTCTGTTGTCTATCTTTATGCGTAAAAGCATAATGAATCATAATAATGTATATTGGACAATATCTAAGAAACGGGGGTTCTCTGTGCTCGAGTTTAAAAGCGTGAGGATTGGTATCTGAAAACTTGTTATACCACGCCACATTTTTATTTTCGTGTCAGGATTCACGCCAGGGGTTGTCTTTTGTTATATCTTAAAGTTATTTGTCAGTAAGGCAATTCTATGAATGTTTTTATGAATTCTAGGGATTCTAAGGTTATCAGATTGGAGACTTGTTAATTGAGTCTTTTGATTTTGTTTGTGTCGTTGGTTTGTTTTACCCTAAAAGTATAGTCTACATCACCTTTTATTGACAATTTAGTACAGTTTAAAGAAATAGCAAAGAGTTATTGTATTGTATCAGATGCTTTAATTTTAAACAAAATTTTATGTATTTCTAAAAGTAAATCGTTATTGTCCTTTAGATCTATACCCTGTATAAAAACGTAAAAATAAATTAGAAGAGTAGAAAATATAATAGTGTGTATATATGATATCAAATAAGATCAAACTAAAGTGCAATATAGTTTTATCATTTATGTCAATTTTTTATCTCAAAATAGAAATGTGTAATGTACTGGTCTCATAATTATGAAAGTAGATTAAAATAGATACGACTGGTTAGTATTGTCACAAAAAACATTAAATGTTTTATTTTACTCCATGATAACTAAATACTGTACAAGACTGAACTTGAATTAAAAACAAGAGTATATAGCCATTAGGACATCATGCCCCACTCGTACTATCACATTTTCACGTTTAACGACACGAAATCTGTGTCAAATTGGCAGATATTTTCAAAAGCTCACATCATTGTAAACTGCCTTGTGTGACCACAACTGTATTGAAACTACTTTAAAACTAAACTTGAACACGATACGGGACGTGCGGAAAGATCAGAAAATAATACCCCCTGCCCCTCCCCCATATCGTAGAAAGGCATAAAAAGTGATTAATATTTTGCAAGTGTTTTCAACTTTACGCAGTTTTGCTTAGAATACTGATGTATAAATCCATTTTTTTGCAAAAACTACAAGTTTGTTTGGCAATCATCTATCACAATTTACGTAACTTTTTTTTATGCAATCGAACAAATTATTCTGAAAAAAATGCTTAAAAAATAATGGCAAATAGTTTGTCCTTGAAAGTTACAAAGTTGCACAGGATTTATTAAACAACTTTTTTGGTGTATAAATCTAAAGCAAATTTATGACAAAAGCAGTCTTCAACCCGCCCTCTTTCGTTCGACTTAAGATAGAAAAAGACTTGAAGAGAGGTTTATTACTCATATTGTTCCTCTTCGAAAAAAAAAATATTACAAAATGAAATAACATTGTATTTGTACCCAGTCAGTCAAATATTATATTCATAACCAGTCAACCATTTATTATTTTTACATCCGGAACACAATTTATTTTTTTACGATTGGTTCATCTGCTACCTGTAAGAATTTACACTTTCTTTAAAATGTCGGACTGTGAAGACGAAACTGGTGAGTTCTAGTTAAAATATAATGTTTAATTTTTCTATAGACCGCTCTATAAGATGTGATTGCGAATGTCTATAGATCATTGTGTAGCACTTATATTGAATAACATGGATGTTTTCGTTTAATATCCGTAATTAAAAAAAAATCGGCAATTGATGATATTAAAAAATACGTCTGTACGATCTTCTTTATGAGTTTTATCTAAGTTTCTCTGTTGTTTTTTTTTGTTTTTTTGTTTTTGATTACTGTTATTGTTACAAAGATGATTCATAAATAATTTATATCGTATTAGCTATAATTTGGTGTGCACATATAGTGTTTTGAACAGTATTATTTTTTCTCCTGTCAGGTAAAATAAACCACATTTTAAATTACATAATTTTAAATACATATCTTAACAACGTCCTGAAATGCTTATATATTAATAAATCTGATGTATTCATTACTTTTTTGACTGTTTGAATGGTATGGAGTATTGGTAGACATGGAATATAACCAAATGTATCGATATTTTATTGGTAATTATCTTTGCTCTACACTTCAGTCTAGAATTTTTTTTTTGTACAGTCACACTACCATGAGTTCTAATATACATTTTTCTCTTAAATTTATATCGTTTTAACACATTTATATTTTTCCCTACAGCTTGTTGTGGAGGACCTGGATATGCCTCACCACTTTCTGCCATGCGGAGTGGGGCTAGGGAAACTTTGGTATATATTCCCTGTATCATCCCACCAAGCAGACGAAATGTTGAGCCAGATTACCTGGTAACAGTAGATGTTGATCCAAAATCACCTACTTACTGCAAGGTATATTCATACTTTGAATCATATTTGCGACAAAAAAAACAGCTTTTTATACGACCGCAAAAATTTTCGAACGTACAATGGTATGGCGATGTCCAGACAATAACTTGAACCTAAGTGTACGGATCTCTATGAAATTGTACCACAAAGTTTCATACCACAATAGAAAGGTTTGGATTGATTTTGGGGGTTATTGTCCTAACTGTTTAGGAATTATGGGCCAAAAAAGGGGCCAAAAAAATAAGCATGTTTCTTCTTTCAGGACAATATAAATGTAAAAGTGTATGGAACTCTTCGAAATTTTACCTAAAGATTCCATGCCTCAAAAGGAAGATTGGGATTGATTTTCGGGGTTATTGTTCTAACTGTTTAGGAAAAAGGGACCAAAAAGGGGCAAACAAACCAAGGATTTTCTGATTACCGGACAATTCAAGGTTTTGTAAATTTATTTTTACACTCACATCTCTCTTTCTGGTTGATCGAGATGTTTCAAATTACCTGCGCTACGACCGAGAATGTCAAATGAATACTTGGTAAATTTCTTATGCCTGCTATTGTTCAGACAACGAATCTTCTTCAACAATACTGCAGATGCAACATGCAGGTAACACAGAACAAAATCTTCTGTACTTAAGGCAAAATCCATTGTTTTGTAATGGCAATCGGAAACGCAGACACACAGCTGCTGTTCACGATAGCAAAACCATTGTTTTGGTGGGAATCGGGAACTAAGATCCTATTAATATCTGATAATAGGATTTGAGATAGTGTAATGAAGGTTAAAAATGTTCACAATATTTATTGAAATGCATTGTCAATATTCATATGTTATGTAGGACAATAGTATGATAAGTATGAATTAGTATATTTCCCAGTTTTAAGTTTGAAAGTGACAATAATACCTTAATCTGTTTTCATAGAATTTCTAATGATACTTTGTCAAAGGTATCTCAAAATTAGGTTAATCTTTTTTTCAGATGTTTATCGAAGTGTAATGTTTTGTAAAAGATGTAGGATCGGGTATTCACAATACAGACTTGTAACTTATACTATTTTGCTGACCTTTTGTGTCGAATAGAATTGACGAGAAGAGCACTGAAAAAAGCAGAAATTTATTCTTGAGATTCCCATGTATGATTCCGTTCCTCTTTGAGAAATACCCATTTTAATTATCTAGTAATTCGTCATTCGATGTCAAGACTTAAATCTTAGGCTGTGGACTGGTTTTACTGTTCTATGTGTCAATTAAAGATAATTCCATCCTCTAAATTAATGGAGATTTAGGTTAACGTCAATGAAACAGTAACCCAACAACACACAAAACAAAGACATCTAGTAAGAGGTCAACATACGGTCTTCAAAAATAGACAAACTTCCATACTATATGTCAAGCTCTAACTAACCAAGGGTCTAGACAAGTGTCGAAACAAGTCAACAGAGACTATATGCGGTCGACCCCCAACGACTCAAAGAAATAATTAAGGAAACAAACACTTACAGTTTGTCTGAATTTGGACAGGCATATGAACATGTTGCTAGGTAAAAGTAGTCTTTTATGGGTTAACCTTCTATTTTTAATCACAATCTGTTGAAACACAGAAGGTACACGAAAGAACTTACGATGGAATCATTTAAATAAAAAAAAACACGCTTAACACTGTAATACAGGTGTCATAGACAACAAAAACACAGCTTCAAGTAAAGTTATGATTATAGTATAACTATTCGCTGTATTCGAATATCAAAAATAAGACAACGCGTGACCGAACGACTCATGGATTAAACGAGTGCCCCACGGTCCAGTCTCGATGTCTTTTAGCGTCAAAACATCATTCTGTATGCCAGTAGCAATGTAATATTTTAAATTGTAGCCACTCATATATATAATATATATATTTACCAGTTTCTGGTAATTATATGCAATATATATATATATATATATAGCTATTGTTTTGCCATCAACATTATGTGAATCTCAATGTTGAGATTTAGAGAATACCAATCACATTCTTTCGGCATTGTTACGTTAATTTATTCAATTATTTTCAACTGATACATGATTTTGCAACATTTTTTTCCCGAAAAGGGTGAATAGCAATTCTTATTTCTATCTACTAAAGTATTAGCTGCATACAATTGCATAACAAATTATTACTGAACACTTGCGCATGATGGCGTTTAATGGCTTTTTAAATAAAAACTACTTTACTGACAAAAGTATTAACTAGAAGGCCATGCCAAATCAGATGAATGGTTTTAAAGGATGATTCATGCACCGATGTTTCAGTTACAAAATTTCTTGGATATTTAATTTTATCTTTGATTATCTTTTTAAGGTTGTCCACAGACTGCACATGCCAAATGTAGCGGACGAACTTCATCATTCAGGATGGAATGCATGTTCCAGTTGTCATGACGATCCATCAAGATCTAGAAATCGACTTATTCTGCCATCAGTAAACAGTAGCAGAATATATGTGGTTGACACAGGAACAAATCCAAGGAAACCTTCACTAGACACGGTAATTCGAAAACATGTTAATGCGATATGAATTTTAACCCTGAATTGTACATGACCGACACACGGAGTCGGAATTTTAACTTGCTAGTTCACAAGGGAACAGTTTGCAGGAAGACTTGTTACCCTACCGATACACATTATTCTGACTCCGAGCCGACCAAACTTTGCTTTTACTCATCAATCCCGCTTGCTTAGCGGAGAAAAATGTAGATAAAAAACATTTGAAAACTGATATTTGTTAACCATTTTCGCAAATCACGCGGTGTGTGTCGCAACAAAACATGAATAAAAGTCATGTGAGACGAGTTTCTGGTAATTATAATGTTAAGGAAGTTAATGAACCAATATATGTGTTGTGTACAAGTAGTTATCATTTTGTACAAATTATAATTTCTGCAAAAAATGCTTGTACAAATTACAATTGAACAAAATTTGACTAAAATTCACTTATAACTTGTACAAAGGATATATGATAATTTAACATGATACAATAGATGGCCTTTTATATACTTTCAACAGTAATACATTTTAATTGGCTTAAGGAAAACATTTTTTTGCATTCAACTCTTTTGGAATGTTCATTATTTGGGGTCAATTGTTTTAATGAGTTGTCAAAGATATATATCGCCGGTGTTTGTGAACACTTAAAAAAAGGTCGTTTACTTATTTGATGAAATAGTGTAAACATGGCCAGCATTGTTGATCAGCAGGATACATTTGTCCTAGAAATTCTGAACCTAGTAGAGAATAATACATGAAAGCACAATCTTGTATTCACCAAGGATTATTTGTAACACATTGGAACAGATGTAGGAATTTTTACAGGATATTTGTCTACAATTCAAATTGAAGCTGTTAAAAACACATGTTTATTCGCAGCAACGGTTCATGAGCTTCAACTTTCGCTACGTGAAGCATTTAAAAACCATTAAAAAACTGGTGGTCAGGGGTTTCTTTTTTTATAAATGCAAAGGAGTTCAGCTCTCTGTAATAGTTTAAAATTCTGGAAAATTTATTGATAAGTTACATTGAGAATGGAAATGGGGAATGTGTCAAAGAGACAACAACCCGACCAAAGAGCAGAAAACAGCCCATAGCCACCAATGGGTCTTCAACACAGCGAGAAAATCCCGCACCCGGAGGCGGGCTTCAGCTGGCCCCTAAACAAAAATGTGTACTAGTTCAGTGAAAATGGACGTCCCACTAAACTCCGAAACATATAAATGAACTAAAATTAAAAAAACATACAAGACTAACAAATGCCAGGGGTTCCTGACTTGGGACAGGCACAAAAATGCGGCGGGCTTAAACATGTTTTGTGAGATCTCAACCCCCCCCCCCCCCCCCCTTTACCTCTAGCCAATGTAAAATAAACAAACACACAACAATTCGCACAGTGAAACTCAGTTTAAAAGAAGTCCGAGTCCGATGTCAGAATAGGTAATAGAAGAAACTAAGCAACAATGACAATGATACATAAATTAACAAAGGACTACTAGCAGTTAATTACATGCCAGATCCAGACCTCAATTAAACTGATTGAAAGATTGCGTCTTCATCATATGAAAATCAAGCACAATGCCTCCCATTAGGGGTTTAGTATCATACCATCATAAAATATATGAGAAGAACATAACCCGTATCATGTCAACAACTGGTTTTAGAATAAATGTGTTTATTTCCGATGCAAAGACACTATGAGTGAATTAATATTAATTCCAAAATAATTATGCGATCTTTAATGACCTGACGACAGTATCGTAACTATATCCCTTCTGAATAAGTCTGTTATTAGGTTTGGTTAGCTTTTGAGGTGATTGACGGCATTTTTTTTTTGCTTTGTATAGAACATTCCCATAAAAGATTGGATGTGAAATACCTGATCGTATACGATGTCTGCATGTTGATTTGTATTTACGAATGATGTCATTGTACCGATGATAAAATTTAGTAAATGTTTTGACTAGTTTGTGATATCGAAAAACCTGGTGTAATTATTTTCAGTAATACAGAGATTTCTTTCGTTAAAATCATACACGAGCGAATCGAACAAGTTGAGATATATAAACACCATAAGATGGTGACAAGGGAACGTCACCATCTAAAAATGGATAATTAACAATAGGAAATGAAAAAAAAACATCTCTTTTATCGGAAATTTTGGTATTAAGCTTCTCGTTAAAGATATAGATATCAAGATCCAGGAAAGGGATGTATGATAAAAACTAACCCAATTAAGGTTACGGGGGTTAGTTAGTTCATACTGAAATATCAGTGAAAGTAACTTGAACCTAAGCCATGCGCTAAAGATGGGTTAGTTTTCATCATACATTTATTATCAATTTTCCAGAAATTAAAATTATTCCAGATTCAAATAATTCCTTGTTTAAATGTAAAAGATGTTGTGCAATTCCCGATCCCACAATTCTATCACATTTTCAAAGAAATGATACAGAACTATTTTTGTATTTTGTAAGGTTTACTGTGTGGTCATTTTATAGAAATGCTATATTGTGTATCAATGCTTTTTTTTTTAACCAAGTCCATATTATAAATTTTTGTACAAGTTATAAGTGAATTCTAGTAAAATTTTTGTACAAATGGTAATTTGTACAATATAAATAAGAAGATGTGGTATGAGTGCCAATGAGACAACTATCCATCCAAGTCACAATGTGTAAAAAGTAATATAGGTCAAAATACGGCCTTCAACACGAATCGTTGGCTCACACCGAACAGCAAGCTATAAAGGGCCCCAAAAAGACTAGTGTAAAACAATTCAAACAGGAAAACCAACTGTCTAATCTATATAAAAAACGAGAAACACTTATGAACCACACCAACAAACGACAACCAATGAAAAACAGGTGCATACAAATGCAGCGGGTTTAAACGTTTTAACATTCACCCTAACCTGAAACAGTGGTATAACATTACAACATAAAAAGACACACAATAAAATATCAATTTTAAAAGTCTTAACTCGATAAAAAGACAATACACAAAAACAAGTAAGTATACACTGAACGAATAAGTTTGATCTATCACACAATATAAATAAAAAAGATGTTTCAATGTCAAAAAGACAACTTTAACCTAGGACAAAATGGCGTTAAATAAAGTAACGTACACAGGTAAATTCAAATATAATAATTTCGTTGTTAGGAGTACAGAAACATTTTTTACAAAATAAATTTGTTATTCATAGTACGAGTACAGAAGTGATATTTTTTTTTCATACTAAATACTTATCAAAGGTGGTACATATTAAAAATAGTAAGACGAGATATAACACAAAATAAGTAAACATGCACTTTTTGGACGAATTACAATTACAAAATGATAACTTGTACACAACATATGCATATACAATTATTACGAATCCATTAGATATCATCGACAAAACAATATTTTACTCTGTGATTGTTGAATTGCTAATTCGGGTTTTGGTGTCGAGGTTAACCGATCGTTACTATTGATACAAACCAACACAGAATCATGGAGCACGTGAAAAATAAGTGAAATAATATAGCGATATCTATTCCTTTTTAATATGTACTTCATGCTTTCCAATTTGTTTATTAAACTTTGTTACAACAGTTGTTAAAAGAGTCGGTGTATTAAGAAGTTTTCTTTCACAATCGGTTAATACTAATAGTTATTTATTTCACGTTTGTTTACCTTTTATTTTATCACGGCTTTTCCCCTCGCACTTGCGCTGTGCGGTTGCCGAATTTCTAACGAAATGTGCCAAAGAATAGGTCACTGCAAACGGAAACGCTGTCGGCGAATAAGAGTACGGGAAGACAGTAAATCGATAGCAGTACATCTCTGAATATTTGGATAAAATAAAAGATTTTCTTTTAAAATAAAGTCTATGTGCACGTTTTTTTTATAGTAAAACTTCAAGTGTATAAATCATATTCATTTTTTTTTGTTAAATTTGAAATGCCATATGACTTTAAATCAGCGGAAGTTTATTTTAGTTTACCAAAATAAAGATTTCAAACTTTAAAAATAAAGTATTACGTATTAAGTGTTATATTTTATTAAGAGTATTGAGCCATGGGAGATGACAGAAAAATGTGGCATGTCAGCTCCTCACACAACACATTGTCTTGGTTCCGGTGATATAATGATCAGCTGTATGGGAGATCCAAAAGGAGACGCCAAAGGTATGTTCTATACAACAAGATAGATTTTCCCCAAAAATTTATTTGCATATTTAATGGCATCTATTTGTCTAAGATGAAAAATCTTTAAAATCGTTTATTTAAGGACATTAAATTCATGGATGTTGTCGTGAAAAAAACTAACTACAAAACAGTAACATAAAAAAATACACTATAAAAAAGGTGATGCGGTATGATTGCCAATGAAACAACTATCGTCGTTTTTTTTAAGTATAGAGATTACGATAAAACTGATTACATAACTGATAACACTAACTGCAGTTTCCTTGACGTGCAAAACAAAAACTAATAGGGCAGTTTCGGTCCCTATATTTCTGTATGTGTTTTCTGAAAATATTTCTATTTATTACTTTAAGGTGGTTTTGTTTTGGTCGACGGCAAAAGTTTTTCAATTAAGAAAAAATGGGAACGTGAATCTATTGAAATGGGTTATGATTTTTGGTATCAGCCGTATCATAACGTTATGATCAGTACTGAGTGGGGTTCACCAAAAGCATTTAGGAGCGGATTCAATCCTGCGCATGTGACACAAGGTAAGACATAAGGGCTGTTTATACAACTATATTTCCTATTTTAATATTTAAAATGTGTTATTGCTATTTTGATGCATACTAATGACTTCAAGCTACTATGGCAGCAGTAGTTTACGATATTCAAATCGTTTCAGAAGATACAAATCATGATAACAAACAAAAACTGAAAAAATCGCGTGATCACCAAAAGAAACGAGACCGGGTGGTCGACAGAATTAGCGCCTCCTGCAATGAGAATGTACACTAAGTCAAAATGTCACAAAGAGCTTAGGAAAAGAGGATGGAGGTTCAAGTCTATTTTCTGAATACCACAATGTCTACAGAAGAAGTTTTAATTACTTATCTTTACTTTATCAAAGAACAATACAAGTTCACCTTGTGTGGTATTATTAGGAAAAGGATATAAACAATTTCAGGCCATCGAAAGGTTATTTTTTTATTCTTCCCGATTCTCTGATTTTATCAAGTTGAATATACCCCATGCTCTTTTTCTTTGTATTTTATGATGGCTTTTGTTTTTTTTTGTGTTAAATATGACAATGAAATGACAAGAAAAAGGAAATTATAAGGAAAAATAAAATCATATACACGCTCAACGATTTAGGACGCATTTATAGCTTTACAGTGGCCATCCCTCTTCACAAGCGTGTCCTACATCGCTGATACGAATGTATTTAAAAGAAGAAGACTTTGATGAAATATGCACACACTCATAATGTACAAAAAGGTGTAGCTTTAAATATATTCAATATATGGAATGAAAACAATATCTTTTTGAAACAAGGATAACAAATGATCATATGATTTAGCCCTTTCTGTCCCTCGCTGCGTTCGCCAAGAGTAACATATACAATTATAGTCGTCATTCGTCCGTCCGAAACACAGAAATACCAAGAGAGCTTTTTCTAGAAAACTTTTACACTCAATAAGATAATTTGTCATAATATCCTCTGGACTCTCATGCAATACTGTCAAAATAACTACTATGAGATTTTATGCCAGATTGCTTTCAAATTGGATAGGATATCTTGTCAGACCATTATTAAGATTTGAAAACTTTTCGTCGACAATTTCTGGACTAATTTAACATAATGACAACTTGTGAACGCAACTCTTTTGCGACCGTCTGACAAAATGCTTTCATAGTTGGAGTGTTTCTCATAATGCGCAGTTGACCATACTATTCAGTTATTTCGATTTGACAATTTTAGCGGGATTGATGGATTTACATTTAAAAAAATATTGTTTATAAGTAGCACCTTGTGAACGCAACTCTTTAAAGATGGTTACAAGAAACATTCTAACATAGTAAGATTGTTTGTCATCATGTGTAGTCCACCGTACTGTACTGTCATTTTGATTTGACATCTCCAAGTTTTACGTTAGTAATCCCAATGGAAATTTTACCATCCTTAGCTTATTGCTGCATACGTCCGCCTTGGGGTTGTATTTCACACTTACACAGCAGCTTGTGTAGAAATTGTAATTTTTTTCTTCTAAACTTGAATTACACGTTGATGTATTAACTTAGTGACGAAACTTAGTAGAACTTATTTCTACTTTTTTTTCGGTTTGATATATGTAATTACATTAGCAAATGTTGTATATAGAGGAAATTAACTTCCTAAAGTAGATAATCATTTAGAACACATCAGTCTTTTATGTATATAATGTAACTTGATAATTGATGTATATGAAACAAATAGGTTAATTGTAGTATAGTAGAACTTTTTAATTTGATATTGAAACAAAGTCTTTAATTACTTGAACTAGACATAGGGATTGCTTTTCTGGCGACGGCTGCGGTGATGACGGCGTCAACAATTGTTAAGTTTTCTGCTTAAGTTAGTTTGATAGAAACTACATCATTGATATAAAGTTGCATTACTATCAGTGCATATCAGGTTGAAGACTATTTTGAGGCCCTGCTCCCTTGGACATGGTCCAGTGACTTTGAATTAATTAGCAATTTTCAATGTTAAAGGGGCATTAGCTACGAGATATAAAAAAAATATTAAAATATGATTATGGTTGTTCAATCTTTAATGAAAGTGAAATAATAATTCGCTTTTAGCAGCCAGTTTGGTTCAATTTTGTCAAAATAAGTAAAGAAACATCGCTGATGAATTATTCACTTGCAAGTGAATAATTCGACCTCATTGAATCTGTATTTATGTGACCTTCAATTAAACCCCTTATCTAGAGTTGGGTTATGCATGAATTAGGCGTGTTCATGAAAATGAAACAAGGGTAAACCATTTGTTTGACTGATTCGATCCACAAAAACTCATTCTTATAAGGTTAACACGATGATTAACATATATTTGTAACCAATAATATGAAATCAAATAGACCTAGAAAAATCCAATTGCGCGAGTTAGCTATCTATTTATATCTATATTTATGTTTACATCGGGTTATATGACCGTCGGCAGTCTTCGGAGGTCACCTCGATGGTTAATTAGATGGAGTCTAGACTAAAATACACACGAAATGCTGATACATATTATCGAGCCATGCATTGTTAATTGTTTATTTTAGACTTTTTATAACTTGGATAAACGTTTTAGTTTGTTATAAATCAAATATGCGAATTTGAGTTAAATCGGTGAACCTAAATTTGACAGCTAATGCCACTTAAAGTTTTCTGCCTAAGTTAGTTTGATAGGATCTACTTGTGATAGATCATTGAAATTTAATAGAAAGTTGCATTACTATCAGTACACATCAGTTTGACGACTATTTTAAGGCCCTGGCCCCCTAGGACATGGTCCAGTGACTTTGAATTAATTAGCAATTTTCAATGTTAAGTTTTCTGCTTAAGTTAGTTTGATAGGATCTACTTGTGATAGATCAATGCATTTTGTATGAAGTCGCAATACTATCAGTACACATCAGTTTGACAACTATTTTTGAGGCCCTACCCCCTAGGACATGGTCCAGTGACTTTGAATTAATTACAAATTTTCAATGTTAAGTTTTCTGCTTAAGTTAGTTTGATAGGATATACTTGTGATATATCAATGATATTTTGTAGGAAGTTGCATCACTATCAGTTCATATTAGTTTGACGACTATTTTGAGGCCCTACCCCTAGGACATGGTCCGGTGACTTTGAATTAATAACCAATGTTGCTGCTCATCAAATTGTCTTGATCTGAATTATATGCTGCCAGGCGAGACATATCTTTGTGTCAACAGTTTATTAATATGCTGTACTGTTACGCCACTTTCCCAGGTAATGGAATGGTTGAGTCACACATATGTTTAACCCTGCCTCATTCATTAGGTGCCTGAACCTAGTCCAGAGCCTGCAGTTCAGTGGTTTCCGTTGGTTGCTGTTTATCATTTTTTTAGTTTACTGTTTTAAGCATAAATCAGGTGGTTTGTTTTCTCTGTGAAATTGTTTCAGACTTTGTGATGCTGACCCTTTTATAGATTACTATATGCTAAGGGTTTTGCTCATACAGTGCCCCATAGTTGTTAACATCCTCGTTATGTGTTCTCTGATAGATAGTCTCTCATTGGCAAACACATTACATCTAGTATTTTATAGTCTTTATTTCAGAAACGATTTTCGTTTGTTTTTCTTTCTTTTTTCGGATGCATGCTAAAACATCTGAATGTTTGTTTTAATATTGACATATTTCCGAAACATTGTAGAGAGGGGAATAAAGAATGCCCGAACAAATTTGGTTGATACTAAAAGATTATTAGAGTATTTAAATAAATATATATAATGATACGATGAAAATTTGGAAACTATGCAGGAATTGCCCATTAATGTATTGATCGCAATTTTTGTCCAATTGTATATATTTGTTTTTTTCTTTTACCAAATATTGTCGCCAACTGGCCACCTTTTTTGCCTGAATTTGAAAAAAAAACAATTCTACAAAAATGAAGTGATTTACAGGCAAGCACGGCCATAGAAAGGAACAGACAAAGATCAGGGAGACAAACGAAAGCAAAAACGTAGACGCGGAAAAATGTTTCCCTTCGCCTCGTATTCTAAATGAGAGGCGAAAGATACTAAAGTGACATTCAAACTCACAAGTAGAAAATAAACTGACAATGCACTGACAAAAAAAGAAAAAGACAAACAGACAAACAAAAAATACACAAAACACAACATAGAAAACTAAAGACTGAGCAAAACGAACCCCACCAAAAACTGAGGGTGATCTCAGATGTTCCGGAAGGGTAAGCAGATCCTGCTTCACATGTTGCACCCGTCGTATTTCTCATCTAAGTTCAACCCGGTAATAAGTCTAATTGGTAGGTCACATTCGGGGAAAAGGGGACGGGACTGTAGTTACGACATTTGGAATATATCCGCTATCATCTGTGAAAGGTTTGAAATAATGCAATCCTTTTTTAATGTTTTTGCGTGGAAATTATCTCTATTATTTATATATTTCTAAACATTTTTGCCAGGTTACGTTTACTTGTTTTAATAAACTCAATTTCCTGGTGTTCTTTAAGTTAATCTAAAAAAAACTCATCAATGATAACAGGCTTAAAAAGTCTTTTCGGAAAACTTGTTTTTAAATCAGTGTGCTTTAAATCGTTTAAATTTCTAGTCTATCGTATCTTCTCTATTTTTATTGTTCTATTGACACGTTTTGTTGTGTGTGCATGTGTTTTACGGGTTTTATAACAGTATAAAGCATTGTTAGATTTGTGACATTTAGAGTACACCGATAATTAAGAATTTTGAAAAGAACCGAACGCTTACCTGCTTACCAGCTAAGACATCTTCTTTTCAGCAACGGGAAAAAAGCGCCGGAATATTGTTACATTAATGATGATTTCCTTGTAGATTCTGCAGACACATAATTTCCCATCACACAGTCTCAGGAAATCAACAAACTTTTTTTATTTACATGATAAAGGGATGTGGGGTTTACTTCATTGTTATAAAGAAAATAATTGGTGATTGAATCTTAAACTAAAGTTGGTCACATCTTGCCTTTTAAATTTTGAAGCAGAAATGAAAAATGATTCTAGAAAAATTAGGTCAATGTACAAATCAAGTGTTAAAAAAGTATCGTTTCCTTTTGCAAATGTATAGTAATTGACACCATGATTTATACGGTAATATGAGGTTCAGTGTTGCTTTTATTGGAATTGGGTATGATTTAGAATGATTGCTGTAACGCTGATATTTAGTTTGTTCTTAATGACGACATGCTGGTAATGTCACTTGACATGACGTAATAACAGAGTTGCTACTGTTTGATTTATATCGATATTGAATGATAATTCATGTTCTTATTGTTTTTTTTTCATTTTGCCCGAAAAACACACCATATTTTAATATCGGATTGACTCTTAAGGTGAAAAACAAAAACAAAATCTAAATGTATTTAATTATGTTCAATCAGCCTACGACGGCAACTCTAAAAAAAAAGATAAAAATTTATTGCGTCTTACCGTCCTCAAAAAAGAGGCGGAAGATACCAATAGACATTCCAGTCTCATAAGTCGATTGAAACTGAGAAAACCATGGAAAAAAAGGAGTCGACGAAAAGACAAACAAAATCTTAAACACTACATAAAACAGTAAAACAGACCGAGCAACACGAAGGTGATCTGAAAGGGTAAGTAGATCCTGCTACATTGGTGGCATTCGTTGTGTTAATCATGGTTAGTTCAAATTCAATAAAGAGTCCCATTCGATGAAACCGAACAAAAGAGGACAGAATTGTTTTTACGAAAAATGGAATAATATGTGTTTATTTCATGTTCGATTGGGTAGATGCGCCCAACAAAGTCACCAGACTTTAAAGAAAGTATTTAGTGATAGTACATCATCTTTATAGCGATAAAGAAGTTATAGGATAATGCTAGTTCATTTCCGAAGAAGATCTTGTATGAAGTATGTCTAATATGATTAAAGGAATAAGTCGGTAAGAAGATGAGCAAAGTTATTTCCCATAGGAATGCAGATCGTTTGTTGAAAAACACGTCCTGCAAATTTGACATATATGTGGTCAATGAAACAAATCAAGCATCCTGATGATGTCAGACTCAGAAATTGTTTTGTTTAAATCAGAGTTATTTTTAACAAAGTATGACGTATTCCTTTCTAAAACATATTTGTATCTAAGTTGGCCATTCTTGTAAATGAAACAAATTAAGACTAATTCTTTAAGTCTGTCTTGAAGTTTAGAATTGGTGTTACTATTGTAAAACTTAGAGATGTCAATTGTTTGTATACTGTTTCAAGATGAAAGAGACTGCGATTATATGTATTCTAACAGATATTTGGAGTATTTAAATATCTACGTTGATTCACGTCGCATTGGGAGTAGTTATTAATAGACATTATTATACGTAAAACACATGAAAACTCTCAAAACACATTTTGATTAAGTAGAATTAAACTTTGCCAGATAACTCTCCTTTTTTTCATAGGGTTAACATACTATTTTTGTGCTGTCCGTCGGGACCAAACGTTGTCAATTGCGTGTATGCCCTTTTCCAGAAGGATTTTTCCTGGCTGTTTTAAAGACCGTTTCCACAGTGAACAAAAATCGAAAGATAACATAGAAATGTAATACATTTGTTTTTCAAATTGAATCATAAAATGTATGCATGTAGTAATGAATGAGATGGGTCAGGTGTTGCCTATACAAGAGGACGATTCGTATTGCCATTATTATTTTTTTTTGTATCATAAAAAAACAAATAAGTCTTTTTTTTTATTCAAACCATTTGTTTCGGAAAATTAAATTGAAAAGGATTTTGCACCTGAAACTGTAAAATTTACCTTCCTTTGATTCAGACAGGGCTTTGTGTTTTAGTTTGTGCCCCCATCGATAACTGCGCAAGATTCACTAGTATAAATTTTTCTAGTCCTCTATTGTTTATTTCTATCAGATTCATATTAGAATATTTATTAGCACAACAAGGTTTAGCTTTCGAAAATTTCAAATCCATTATGAATTGGGACCGTAATGTTATTTTAATAAGTTTGATTAACAAAAACTCATCAACGATAAAGCTAAATAACTTTATAAAAATGAAAGTGTGAAAGTGAAATGAACAAAGACATATTATTACCACAAATAAGTTAAATTTATGTAAGAATAAGTTATGTCACAGATTTCGTTTTTCATGTACTATCCATAGCTAGACGTTTAAAATGCTAAATGATTCGTAACATAATGTGCTGAAATTTCAAATCATCAATCCGAAAACAGGATTTGTATCGCTTGAATGATCTATTATATAAATTTAGGTCATCTTGCTCCTAACGTTTCTGTATACTTATACAACCCTGACGTTTGAGCGTATCCCTATGGATACAAATATAGAAAAGCGCTTCAGATGCACGAAATTTATAAATTAATTTTCATTTACAAACATATATGATGCGTATGATATGGCATACACTTGTACTAAAACAGTAGTGTAATCTAAGGTAAAATATAAAAGCTTTTTTTATACAGGGTTATATGGACGAAGTTTGAACGTGTGGGATTGGCAAAAACATGAAAGAATTCAAAGAATTGACCTTGGAGACGAAGGTTGGATCCCACTCGAGATAAGATTCCTTCATGACCCGGAAGCAACAGAGGGTTTTGTTGGATGTGCTCTTAGTACCAATGTATTTAGATTCTGGAGAAAACCCGTTAGTACAAATAGTTTTTAATGAGTGTAGTCGTGTTATTTGCTTCAATTCGTGTTGAATGATCTTTTTTTTTCTTTTAATTTCTTTTAATTGCATTCCCTTTCTTTGATTGAATCGTATTTTTATCATTTTTTCCGTCTATACCTTTAGGAATAACGGCTTTAATATAAGAGTTAACCCTTTCAGGTTCTTATTTTCATTGTCGAGATTAAAGTGACTAACAAAAAAATCTTAGTACACAACAAGTATTCCCGATGCACAAGTACAAGTACACATATACAGATCAATGAGTAATGACAAAATGTTAAGTGTGCGATATCAAAACATATATTCATGAAAGCATCAAATGTTATATATCTTAAACAAACATTACAAGAAAATTCAAATTGCTCTTGATAGAAAAAGTACATTTATTCGATTGAACGAGAATATTTAAACAAGCTGAAAAAAATTCAACCATACAGTAGGAGTGAATCACAGATCTGTTTATTCAAAGGTAGTAGTGGTTTTACACAAACAAAGTAATAAATGTCCTATTTTATAAATTTCTTATAGAAAAATTATCAAAAAGTAATTCCATGATATTTAATATCCAAGTACAACATTGCATAATAATATTGATTGTCAAAAATGTTATATACAGGATGGTAGATGGGACGCTGAAAAAGTGATTGATGTTCCATCTAAAAAAGTTCAGAATTGGGCCCTACCGGATATGCCAGGTTTGAAAGGATTTTATCCCTTTTTTCTTAAATGATTTCATGAAATTTTAATTTGAAAAAGAGATAGGACATTTTTGATTTATGTCTCACAAAACTAACTTAATTTTAAGTATCTGTATATAATAATATATAATTCCTTAAATAATGAGTGTGCTCATTAAAGAATATGGTAAAATGAAACACTAGTTGGCACATACATGAACAAGTTGTGATCGAGTTACAATTATTTTAAAAGGTTTGATCACAGACATCTTGCTGTCATTGGATGATAGGTTTATATACTTCAGTAATTGGATACATGGTGACATTAGGCAGTATGACATCACAGACAGACGCAATCCAAAATTAGTTGGTCAGGTACGGTTTGACATGGTTTTACTTAAAAATTTCTCAGTTATTTATAATTGAAAATGTTTGTATTTGTTTTGTTTTAAACAATATTCATGGAGATCGAAATTATGATGTCTTTCAATTACAAATGTTGCAATAACAATAAAGGTACAAATTTTACTGCACCAGATGCACGTTTCGACAATTAATGTCTCTGGAGTGATGATCGAGGTCAAATTATTTTAAAATTCAAAACCTATTAGAAACGATGAAGAGCTGATAAAACCAAAATGGACCTAAAATATATGCAAATTTGTGAAAATAAGAAATAAAATATATAACTACAATTAACTAGTGAATATAACATTTCAAAAAGTTTTCCAGAAGCAATACTATTTAAATGTAGTTGTAAACATGGTGATAGATAAGGAATATTAACCATTCTTGACTCTATAAAAAATCAAGAGGTATGCTTTATTATATTTATTTCAAGATAACAATACATAATTATCCATAGAAAAAAGAAAGTTAGAACGATGTGGTTTACATTGTTTTTTTTTATTCATATCCTGAACAATTTCCTAAAGTGACATAAATTAAGGCAACAGTAGTTTTCTTGTATTTAAATCTCTTAAATCGTTTAAGAAGACAAGTCAAGGTAACAAACTAAAACGCAGGGAATCGCATGAAATTTATAACGAGCAAGACAGGTTGTGTAGACAAGGTTAGGGTCTCCTGCTATGCATGTATCATCCACAATGCGAATTAATACTCAGTCAAAATGTTACAATCTGACAAACCACACAAGCAGTTAAATTACAGATTTAACTATTATGGTATATTCTCAGGGTATATTAATATCTTAGACTGCAGAAACATGTCGCTAGTGATTTAAGACACAGACATATCGCATCGGCCCACACATTCGTAACGGTAACCGTAAAACTTATGTTGTATCGATTTCAAGCCCCCAATTGTTAACGTTTTTACCTATTATGTCTGTTTGTTTTGCTCACACATTGTTGTCAATATAATGGAATTCTATGCGACTGTCATACAAGTGAGAGGTTTAGCTAGCTACAAAACCATGTTAAATCCGCCATTTTCTACATAAGGAAATGCCTGTACCAAGTCAGGAATATGACAGTTGTTTTCCATTCGTTAGATGTGTTTGAACTTTTGATTTTGCCATTTAACAAAGGACTTTCCGTTTTGAATTTCTCAGTTATTTATAATTGAAAATGTTTGTATTTGTTTTGTTTTAAACAATATTCATGGAGATCGAAATTATGATGTCTTTCAATTACAAATGTTGCAATAACAATAAAGGTACAAATTTTACTGCACCAGATGCACGTTTCGACAATTAATGTCTCTGGAGTGATGATCGAGGTCAAATTATTTTAAAATTCAAAACCTATTAGAAACGATGAAGAGCTGATAAAACCAAAATGGACCTAAAATATATGCAAATTTGTGAAAATAAGAAATAAAATATATAACTACAATTAACTAGTGAATATAACATTTCAAAAAGTTTTCCAGAAGCAATACTATTTAAATGTAGTTGTAAACATGGTGATAGATAAGGAATATTAACCATTCTTGACTCTATAAAAAATCAAGAGGTATGCTTTATTATATTTATTTCAAGATAACAATACATAATTATCCATAGAAAAAAGAAAGTTAGAACGATGTGGTTTACATTGTTTTTTTTTATTCATATCCTGAACAATTTCCTAAAGTGACATAAATTAAGGCAACAGTAGTTTTCTTGTATTTAAATCTCTTAAATCGTTTAAGAAGACAAGTCAAGGTAACAAACTAAAACGCAGGGAATCGCATGAAATTTATAACGAGCAAGACAAGTTGTGTAGACAAGGTTAGGGTCTCCTGCTATGCATGTATCATCCACAATGCGAATTAATACTCAGTCAAAATGTTACAATCTGACAAACCACACAAGCAGTTAAATTACAGATTTAACTATTATGGTATATTCTCAGGGTATATTAATATCTTAGACTGCAGAAACATGTCGCTAGTGATTTAAGACACAGACATATCGCATCGGCCCACACATTCGTAACGGTAACCGTAAAACTTATGTTGTATCGATTTCAAGCCCCCAATTTTTAACGTTTTTACCTATTATGTCTGTTTGTTTTGCTCACACATTGTTGTCAATATAATGGAATTCTATGCGACTGTCATACAAGTGAGAGGTTTAGCTAGCTACAAAACCATGTTAAATCCGCCATTTTCTACATAAGGAAATGCCTGTACCAAGTCAGGAATATGACAGTTGTTTTCCATTCGTTAGATGTGTTTGAACTTTTGATTTTGCCATTTAACAAAGGACTTTCCGTTTTGAATTTCTCTTGGAGTTCGGTATTTTTGTTATTTTACTTCTTTCTTATAACTCTGTTAGGGCAGTCTTTTTTGTGAAAGCACTTCTATTTTAATGAACTCGATATGTAAATACAATCGATGGACAGTCTAAGATCTTTAGATATCAGGTCGTCGTCTATTCTGAAACTTTACCGATTGTAACATTTTTACGCAAATGATATATCTTAAAAGTAAAAGAATTACAGCTATCTGAAGTTAAAGTTACAGACGACAAATTTGTTAAAGAACAATCAAGTGCTTTGAAATTAGTTAACAAAGGTGTGAAAGAAAGATTCCATGGGGCAATCAAAATAAATTGTTCATTTATGGTTATCATAGGAAAGTATTTTCCCCTATTTAGGGATATCTGTCTTTTTGTCTTCTTCAAAATAATGAGTATCACTTTTGCTGTACATAAAGGTTTGGCTTGGTGGAAGTATCCAGAATGGAGGCAAAGTAAAAGTTACAGAGGACAAAGAAATGACAGTAAGTGAAGAGTGATTATTTTAATGAATTTTCTATTTAAATGTTTTATGACTTTAAAAAAAACTATTAAAATGGCATTATTTGGCTCCTAAAATTGTAAAAATAGTAGTCTTAATTCAAGCGCAGAAATATTATTTGAAATATCCTTATGACGTAATAAACATACAACAATTGATATATTTGGTAAAAAAAATAGTCCTTGACTTAAAGTTTTCGTTAAGATTAGAATGACACAGTCTTATAAAAAAGATATTTGACTAACGTCAACAACGGTGGCATATAATTTCTTACTACCACTTCATTTTATATCTGGTGGATAGTTGTCTCATTGGCAATCATACCATATCTCCTCATTTTTATTGAATAACAAATCATTTGGCAAAAAACAAAAATTTCTAGGTTTATAATATTGTAAAAGACTCATAAGTGACACTCGAATCAAACAAAGTTAAAAGACCAAATAAAGTGAAAAATTGAAGAGCATTGAAGACCTACAAATTCCAAAAGATTATTGCAAAAATACAGCTAAGGGAATCTTTTCTTGGGATTGACAATCTTTAGTATTTAGAACAATTCAATTTTATAAACAGTTGATTTATATCAATGATATTTCATGTCAACACAGAAAATATCATTTGTGTCAAAGCCATTGCATCTATATCTAAAGCCGACCGTGCGAGACCCTTATGGTTATTTAATGTCATAAAAAAAACCTAGTATATATTTAAACAATTATTGGAAAATCTAAAAGGAGGACATATCAGGTTTGCTAGAAGTAAGATGTCATTAAGCAAAAAAAATGGCTTCATAATCATATAATGACATTACCAACAGTATCAATTTTACTGCACTAGATGCGCATCTCGGCAATTTCTGTCTCTTCAGTGATGCTCGAGTCATAAATATTTGAAAATTCAATTCCTTATAAAAACCCTGAAGAGTTGATAAAACCAAAACGGACCTCAAAGTATATAAGTACGTCTGTAAACAGATTCTTTTTCTAAATTAAAAAAAAAATTACCTATCTTATTGAAATTTCAACACTGATTTCTGGTATTAAACATTCAATGTAAGTAATTTTGATATACATCGCATTCTAAACTCATTCATACTAAAAGACACACAAAAGCGTTTTGACCTTTTAGGTAAATCATATGGGACAAATTAATTCTAGGGTGAATAAGACAAAAACGTTTTCGTTCTAATTTCATATTATTTTACAGAGACAACCAGACCCAGTCTACGTGAAAGGGCGTTTGGTTAGAGGTGGTCCTCAGATGATTCAATTGAGTTTGGATGGAAAGAGGTTGTACGTAACATCATCTTTATTCAGTTCCTGGGACCAACAGTTTTATCCTGAATTGATTACGTAAGAAATAACTATTATCTACATTTGAACACACTTATTTGCTTATTTCATGGTTGCTTTTATGTTTAAGTTATAAGAAAGTCAAAGAGAATACGAAATAACATGCAAACTAATCGCGTTTAATTACCACACATTTATTATTAATCAACAACTAAATCAAAATCGTGTTGCATTTCTGATTGATTGTTTTTGTTTATTCATTGTATGTTTGGCACTTTTGCTATTCTTAAAACAAATAAGTCAAATTAAAACTAGACATAGGGACCAAATCTACCCAAAAAATCCAAGAAACAAACACAAAAAATTACTAAAAACAAACAAGATTTAAAACATTTCTGAACTGGCTTAATACTAGTATTTGATTTGTCCTTGATGAAACAAAGAAAGATGAGACGATATATGAATACAAAACAATCAAAGATTTAAAAAAAAATATATTTTCAAAAGTTCTATTCCTTTCTTTAACAGGGAAGGTAGTCAGCTTTTTAAAATTGATGTTGACACAGTTAATGGAGGTATGACGTTGGATAAGAATTTCTTGGTTGACTTTGGAGATGAACCAAACGGACCTGTTATGGCACATGAAGTCCGATATCCCGGAGGAGATTGCAGTTCTGATATCTGGTTGGCCAGCACGGCTGGCAAAAATAAGCTGTAAAATTTTACGCAGACATTTTACCTGACATTCTTTGATAGTTTAGAAGCAAAAGTTACTTTTTATAATTTATAAAATGAAATTGCTGTTGCTTGTTAGATATATATTTTATACAGAAGCTTTCATATTTTAAAAATTAAGGGCCAATGTATGTTGTTGTATGTATTTGTTGCAACTAAAACTTTACAGGATAAGTATTTTTTTTCAATAAATTAATTATCATTTTGTTTAACCCAGTAGTCACATTTATGTATCGAAATGCAGAATAACTAACTTTGAAACGACACAGAAATGAAATTGATGTTGCCTGTAACATATATCATTATGTAAGGTCTATTGTTGATATTTTTATTTAGTGGCCAATGCATCTTCTATTATCTAATTGTTGTAGAGTTATCTTTACTGGATATAATGTTTTTCATAAATTACAAATTTTATTTTTATACTGTATCGAAACACAAAGTAACTGAACATAAAAAGTTATTTATAAAAAATACAATTAGATTCTGATGTTGTTTGTATCGTATATTATATGACATGTACATTTAAATACATAAAAGAAGTATTTTCAGTTTGCGAAATATATCTTTAATATCTCATGGTTCGTGCTATGGTAAGTTTTGGTTTATGTCATACAAAACGTCATTGAATATCTTGTAAGTGTCAAAAGGACGCGAAAGAATGGAGATTACATCAGAAGAACAGATTTTATATTCAACTAAACAAAATCTTTCTGGTAATATACATGTAGATGCCTAAAGAATGAATCAGAAAGATTAATGTTTAACTCGGTTTCCAAACATATGACATGGTACAAGTTCAATGAATGTGATAGTGTTTGCTGCCTAAATAAATAACACAAAATATAGAAGAAATTTAAGTTGGCAATCAAAATTAAGTTAAATATTGAGCCGGCCAACTTTGGATAAATATATGATGAGTTATATTGGTGAAAAGGATCTTAACTGAAAAGTCAAAACTATATTAGGTCAACTTTTACTGAGGTCTTTTTTGTTATCTAATTACTTGGAGTTTATGAGAATAAAAGATATAAATCATAACCGTTGTCAAAACTTTAATGAGCAGATGCAACCGTCTTGCTCTAAACAGTCCAACAGCTGTGATATGGCTCCAGTTGTAACGAGTTAAGGTAAAACGTTAATTTTCGTTTCATTCTAATTATTTAATCTGTAATAACGAGGAACCGTTTATAAAAACAAGGGGTACATACATAAGGGCTCAGTGTCCCCAAAAGGTACCTAAAATTAATATCCAAAACCACCTGACGATAAATTCTAAATGAGTTGAAACCTTAATTTTTACAAGAAAATCTATCAGCTGGAATCTTTTCAAAAGATGTGCCGGATAGATAATATTCAACTGTGAAACATTAATTACTGGGCAAATGATACCCTTGGAGACTGCACCTCAGGGCTGTACCAGCAGTAAAATCAAAACTGATGCTCTATATAAGTGTTGCTTGAACGTATTTTAAGTTGAAAGTTAAAAATGAGAAAATTAAAAACAAAAGTTATATGAAATTTATAGATTAATCTCGCATATTTTCTCCCAAAGAAATATATAGCGGCTATTAAAAATTTCAAAGAGGAGTATCACATGAGTGTATTTCTTATTTTGTTTACTCTAAGCATAATAGTTCTTTCTTTTTTAGTTTTCAAATTATTGGGCAAAAATGCAAAGATTCGACAAAAATGTCATTTAAGGACAATACCTCCAATCAGGGGTAATGCTAAGGTTTCATTTATTTGGAAAATTGTTGAACTTGTATTGCTGATCAGTTTTGCTATTTACAGTGTCTCTATTTATGTCCCATCACACATCAACAAATGATTTCAGTCATACCAAGACTTTAGTAGATCTTGTATTTCTAATCATTTTTGATATCTTCAGTTCCTGTCTTACTATTACAGTTTTCAAGTTTATTAGCAATTAAACGCTATAGTTGGTTTAAATCGTCAACTAAAGGCATTAAATCTTGTAACTATACGTCTGATAATTTTTGTTAAAATGAAAGGCTTAGACATGTTGGAGATCTTGACATTCTTAACATTTGTCCCCTTTTTTTCCATCATGGTTTACAAGATATGAGAAAGTGACTTGCATTGTAGCATTATGAGATATATTTTTAGCCACGGACAATAGCACAGTGTATTACACAACAGCAAGAAATCTTCAATTGAATATAAATTCAAATCATACAACCAATTTCAAGTTCTTTGACCCTATTTATTCTGTGTCAGAAACCTATAATGTGTCAAATATTTAATTACAATCCAAATTCAGACCTGTATCAAGCTTGAATATTGTGTCCATTTTTGCCCCCAACTGTTCATGCTTATAGACAGAAATACAATTAATTGAATTTAATCCAATTGCCTTTAGGAACGACCAAGTCAAGAAGTATATCAATTGATTCACTGGTTTCCAAAGGAGAAGATCTTAAAAAAGTTTACAGACAGCAGACGGACGACGTTCATGAGTGATAAAAGCCCATATGGGTCTTGTGTCAGATGAGCTAACTTCTAAGTCATTTAGTCTTTCGTGGAAAGTTATCTTGTGGGAAGTCATGCCACATCATATTTTTATAACACAGCTAAGGTTGCACCAACTTGCGTTAGAATGTTATGCAATGCTGAATCTTTCATTTACTTTCAACACATTTATTTAACAACTTTGAGTTAGTAATAGCTCCTCGTTTATAATTTGGTTCTGATCAAAACTTATAGATACTATGTTATTTTCTTTATAAGTTTTCCTTGACCACAAACAGTTATATAAAGCTGTTTTGATACCCAATGAATTATGAAATATTGTTAACAGAATAATCAAAAGGACCAAAATTATCTCAATTTTATAAGGTGTTTATAACTTAAGTAAAACTTCTGATATTCATTGAAAAAGAGGGACGAAAGATACCAGAGGGACAGTCAAACTCATAGATCGAAAACAAACTGACAACGCCATGGCCAAAAATAAAAAGACAAACAGACAAATAATAGTACAGATGACACAACATAGAAAACTAAAGACTAAGCAACACTAACCCCACCAAAAACTGGGGGTGATCTCAGGTGCTCCGGAAGGGGAAGCAGATCCTGCTACACATGTGGCACCCGTCGTGTTGCTTATGTTATTACAAATCCGGTAAATAGTCTAATTCGGTAAGTCACATTCGTGAAAAGGGAAGGGTTTTGTAGTTACGACATAAGGAACATATCCGATATCATCTGTGAAACGGTTATTCCATAACGGTCAACCAACTCGTGATGGCGTCCGTAAAATTTACGAAGGGATGATTTCAACTTCACCATTTGGAACTCTTAGTTTAATAGCTTCCTTGTGAGCAGCAATCCTCTATCAAGGAAATCATGCTAGGAAACACAAGCCCGGGAATATCGTATCAATTGGGAGATATATACTCCGTATGCAGACGCTGCTGGAATGTTGCTACATAGAAATGGAAAGTTCACAATTGGGAAGCTGAAATCATCTCTTTTGTCGTCAAGTTTTGTTTTCAACCGACCCTCATTGTCAATTTCTAGATGTAAGTCAAGATATGAGTGGCTCATGTCTTTAATTATATGTCATTTACATCAGTTCCAAAGATTAACTGACTATCAAATTTATAATACTAGAGGGACTGAAATAGTGTCCATCTAATGGAAGTTATTTACAATACATTTTGGTAAGATTTTCAAGTTGGATATTCAAATTGTCAATTTTTCCTTCCTACAGATTTAGATCAGCATTAACACCAAATATTTAATATAGTGCTCCAGTGTTGAAGTACTTAATTTTTTTGCTCAGTTCCAATTAAAATTATATTATCGATAAATGTCGAATAAACTTAATATTTGTCAAATCCTCCACTTTACTCCAAAATATTGTGAAAGTTTAATTATATTTCGCCCATAAATGAAATATCGAATTTTTGAAAATAAGTGTTCTTAATGGATGTTTACTGTTTTTCTAATTCTGAGTATCAGATTTAGCGCCAAAATGTTTGTTAAAGAGTGAAATGCATTGATTACAGTTTTTCCCAAATACTGACAATATGTTATTAGAGTCACATATGCTAATTTAGACACATTTGTTCCGTGAGGAATGATAAAATTTATTTGAAAATATATTAAATATATTCTATTCGTAATTCTCGAACTGAAACATTTGACATGTTTGAGTAAATGCTGTGATAAAGATTATTTTACAACTTGATTCAATACTGTTAAATGGATATGTCTAGACACAATCAAATTTTTACCGGAAGTCCAAGTATATTATATCATTCTTCTTCCTATTATGTGCACATGTGTCTGTTTCTGGGACAATTAAATTCTATGCGAAAAGAAACAAATATTTCAAGTGTATCGAGAACCAAAACAGTTAAGAAATTAAACCAATTCTCTACTTTTGATTCTGAATGTGGATTTTGAAAATTTGTAGAAATTTTCAAAATTATAAACATTAGCAGATAAATTATATTTACCAGAACAACTTCATTAAAACCAAAAGGTCCTAAACATTACAACCAAAACCTTCTAAGGTCAACTTTGCCTGATGAGGTTGTACACTTCATTTTAAGTATAATTACATGATTTATAAACTCTTTTACCAACCAAATGTAACATTGCAACCATGCTATTTACCGAAGCGCTGGTTACATGGCCAATGAATGATAGTCCACAAGCAGCAAACTATGGTTGATGACAAGTAAGTGAAGCATTATATTGGTTGTTATTATTCGTATATCTAGATGCATAGAAAGTGTAATGCCTACCAAAATTTGAAGCTTGATTATCTAGATGTGGTTTACCTCCATTATAAGACGGAAGGATTTGAAAAAGGGAGAAATGTTAAGAATGATGCGTTCAAACTTATAAAGGGCAAAGTTTTTGTAATCCGATAACATAGTATAACAATGTCGGCCGACTTATTGAACTGGTATGTCGTTTTCAGTCTGGGACTGTACTGCTCCTGTTATTTAAACATATTTGAGTAAACAAAAAAACAGATTTTGTAATTTATATTTTCTTTGAACAAATACCGTCTTATCGTCTACGTTCCGATTGCTATTACTGGAATAAGGCATAAAATAAAACCATTGCCAAATCTAAGACTTCCTAAGCAAATATGAGTACATATCTTTCGCTTCGGTATAACCCCAGACGACACTGCCTCATTCAATCATGTAATATATAAACATTTCCAGTTGATTTGACACCTTTCTATCTGTGTTAGACTTTCAATCTACTTTGGGATGGAGGCGTTATACAGCCAGATAGATGTAGATGAAGGTATTGATACTAAGTTGTATAGTTCCTACTCACCCATGAAATCTATTGATTCTTTCCTGGCAAAAAGATCTACAAATAAAATGCTGATTCAATAATGACATTTGATCAGTCGTATTTGAAATTTTCATATCTATTATTATATCTTATTTGTTGTGAACAGACAGAATACTTATTATATGTATATAGAAAGAAAGACTAACTTGAAAAAACTAGAAATACAATCATATATTAATAAATTACATTAAGGTATTATTCGC